AGGCGCACATCTGGAAAGCAGCTTCTCTCAGGAAATGCTTGCAATTCAGTTTGCACTCCTTAAGCCTTATCCTTGCGATGGTAGCTTTGCTTCAGTCATTGGCAAAACGTGGCAGTGTGTCCACACCTTCAAATGCATTTGTGCTGTGAAGGAAAGCGGTGTGCTGATGCCAGAGGGTTTCTCCTCTCCCAGCAGGTACTGGTTGCTGATTGCTTTCCCCTTGACTGTGACTGGTTGCATGGCTGTGTCCTCTCGACACAGTGGGTGCTGGCATGGCTTTGCTCCCTCCTGTCACCCTCTGAGCCCTGCTTCTTCATGTTGGCTTCTCTGGCTGCGGCACTGAGTTTGTCTGCTCTCAAGACAAATGGAAATATGTGGAAGGGAATCCTGTCTTCCCCTTCTGCTGTTTATTTTCAAGGCAAGGTTTGAATGGTTTAGTTTGAATGTTTGCTTTCAGTGACAGCTCCAGCATGTGCTGGCCTCCAGTCCTGTCTCATCCCTGCCTGACCACTCTGCACAAATGTTTGTGCTGACATGAGAGCGGGAATGGGAGCACATGTTCGGGTGCAGGGAGAGGACAGGATTGCTTTCTTCGGCCACAGCACCAGCTGATGTTGGCTAAAGGTCTGCTGTCACAACAGCAGCCTGCATGCATTCAGATAAATCAGCATGTGCAACAGTCTGCACCTGAGAGGCTGCACACTGCCGCAGAGTGGGGCTACTGGGGAGGGGAAAGCCTGGAAATGGGAGGGCTGGTGGAGGGCAAAAGCAAAGAGCTGGCCTCTGGGAGGGCGCTGCTGGCAGGACTGGGGGAAAGCTGGTGGACTGGGAACCTGCGGCTGGCTTGGAGATTCCAGTGGTAGCTGACAGCCTGGCAGAGAGAGAGCAGGACAAGTAGGAGGGTGCTGAGCTGTGGGGACCCCCAGGGTCAGACTGTGGGCAGAGCAGTGGCGTCTGGGGGTAGAGGTGGCAACCCAGAGCCACAGGGCAGTGCGGTGGCAATAAACACGACGAGCGTGGTCAGAGGTGGGCGTAAGCTCAACCTGTCCTTCCCCCTGTGATGTCGTGACTTGCGGAGATGTTGGGTCCCTGTATCTCTGTCCAAGCTTGCTGGCAGCAGACATGGCATGTGAGGAGACTGTGCTCCCCTCCATGCCCCAGGCTGGGCTGTGATTCTCTGGTAAGCACTTTTCCTTCGGGTGATAAGATGAGAACTGAAGGTTAAGAGTCCAGCCTGGTGCCCCAGGCTGACCAGGGGTGCAGCAGGTCTGCCCCGTGTGAAGATTGGCGCTCCTGGAGAAAAACCTTACTGTCTGGGTAGCGTAGGTGGATGGGTGTGTGTGGTGTGTGGCAAGGCAGGAGAGCAAAACAGCACCGTTTTGCCAGTGGCTGAGGCTGTGAGGACGGGGTACATCCAGAGCTGGCAAGGTTTGCATTGTGGTACCCCCAGTCTAGCTGCTCTGTCACTCCACGGAGATGGATTTTTGGAGCTGGGAAAAGGGAGAGGCTGGTTTGAGGAGGCTCCTGGGCTATCTACGTGTGGCAGCGTGAGCTTCGGGCTGTTTGTACCGCTCCTCCACCTAGCACAGAGGCGATTTCCCGTGCTGTGGTGTGTGCGCTGCTCTGACACTAATTTACTTGATCACTTTAATAAATGTAGAAGAGACATCACAGTGTGCGAGTAATGGGGCACTAATCCATGCCTAGCTGTGCTAAGAGCACTCTAGGAAGGAATTAACGCCACATAATTCATCGCCCATGCAGCTCTTGCTCTCTTAATTAGAGCATGCTCGATTTAGGACCCCCCTTCTGCGAGGGTTGCTCAGCCTCTTCAGCTTTGAGGTGGGTCTCTGGTGGCTCTAGTTTCCCCTGTCCACCTGCTACCAGTTTCCTCCCTGCCCCTCTGCTCCTTGTGCCATGCAGGTTCCCAGTTCCAGCAGTGCCGCTGACCGCCTGGCTGTGAAGTTTAGCCCTACAAAGACTTTCTGCAGCATCAGCACCTTGTTGGTGCTGCTGGTTTGTCTGCTGCCCCAGCGCAGCTGCTGAGGGGAGGTTTCCTGGGAAGATGCAAGCCGTGCTCCCTGACCTTGCTTCCGTAGGAAGCCCTGGAGCTACGCCCCTGCTTGGCTTCAGAAGCTTTGCTTGCCTGCTTTTGTTTGAAATTTTTTGGCTCCCGAGAGCACTGTGTTCTTGGGTAGATATACGTAGGTCTTAATCTCTTTCCTTTCTAGGTTAAATGTATAATGTTCTCCTGGATTTGTTTTGAATATCCTATAAAATTACCTGCATTCTCTTCCCAGCCTGTGTTTTTCCTCCTCTCAGACTGCAGGACTACAGCAGCTGTTTTCCTGCCCTGGAAGGGACTGTGGTCCAGCTCCCCCCAGGAGTTCCCTGCCCAGAGTGCTGGAGGCTTCATCGTTCAGCATCTTTTAAGGGGCTTGGGGAGTTCTGTAGATTACAGCAATGCGCTCAGAGTTTGCAGTGACTTTGGGTTTGTTTTGCAAATGGTCATTCGCTGGAGCTCTATTTAAACAAACAAAGCTCAAATAAGCTTTCCACTTCAGTGCATTAAAATCCCTTAATGCATTAAAATCCCCTAGCCGTGGACATTCAGGCCTCTGCTGTGCCAGGTGCTGTATAAACAGTTATCAAGTGCTGGTGTCTGCTGTAAAATGATCACATCGTTCGCTTCCCCTCGCTCGTCCGCGAGTTGAGTAGCTTTTGTTAGGGGAGATGGTACTAGTCCTGGCATTTGCTGGCCATACAGCCAGCACCAAGGAAACCTGTAACTTTGCCCGGTTTTAAACCCAGGAAGATTGTTTTTACCCCTTCCTGCTGTGCAGCTGCAGCAGGAGCATCTGTTCCCTGGTAGGAAGCAGCAGCAATTTTCCAGCTGGGTCAGGCAGCTGGGGAGGGCTCTGTGCTTACTGGGCAGGTGGAGAGCTGAAGCCAAAAATCAAAAGAAAAAAAGGGAGGAGAGAGCTAAACCCAGCTGTCCTGAGTTCCTCTTGGTGTGGTAGCATCTTCTCCCACACCCATCACCCTGTGTCAGCAGGTAAGAAACAGCCCTGTGGTGCATTTGTGTGTCCATCTCTTTTGGCTACCTGTCAGTGGGGAATATTAGCAGTCTTGCTGTCTTCTCTTGCGTTGCCCTTTACGAAGGATGCCTGGCCTCCTGGATGCCCCTCCGCACGGAAGGGTGCAGCAAGGGGAGAGTTTGCCAGAGTTTGGAGCGGGGTGTCAGGACCACTCAGTGAATGTATTTTGTCAGAGCTGCTGCTTCAGTAAATACAAGTATCCTATTGAGGGTATAGATGTTATCAAGTGAGTTTTCATGGTTCAGGGCTTGTTTATGCCAGCGTTACAGGCTTTCAGCAACTGGTCTCTCTGTATTTTTATATTTTGGTCTTATTCTGGTTAAACTGATATAGAATTAGATTAACCTGAAACAAACTACTCTTGTGGATATGCATATGAAAGCACACGCAGAAAAAGCTATAAGTGATTTTCACTCAAAGTACAGACTGAGCTGACCTGGAGATTTTTAAGGTCTGCTTCCATAGATTAGTCAAGATCATGTAAACTGTCTGAAGAGGGGTCACAAAAGGGATGGAAGGTGTAATAGTGTAATGTAGTGAGTGAGGTTCCTGTGCAGTTTTTGGAGAGGAGCCTTTTCCTTAGCGAGCTCCTTGTGCAGGTCTCTTACGGCTTTGGCTGAATGTGGGACTCCAGAAAAGGCAGTTTTAGTCTTGTGTTGTCCAAGTGTGGGACTATGCACATGCCTTCATGCTGCCCTGTCCTTGGCACTTGATGTAACAGGGAGGGGAGCAGGTAAGTGCTGAACTGTGTGTAACCTCACCCCCTCTCCTTCCCGTAGCTGTTTGCACCATCTCCAGCTCTTTACAATTCCAGGTCCGTTATATTCTCAGGAATGCCTCTGGCCCTCAAGTTGTATCTCCAGAGCAGAGCTGTCAGCCTAAAAGCCACCTTGTTGAATTCTGTGTGGCTTAGGAAATCAGCAATTAAGGGGCAAATTTCATTCCAGAGGCAAAGGGCAAAGGTATCTCCTCTGCTTCTGGCTCACTACCCAGCAGCTACTGGCAGCTGGAAGGGGAGAGGGAGGAGAGTGGCTGAGTGCTGCTGAGGTCCCTGATGGAAGCATGGGGCACCTGATTCCCAGGTTGGAGGTGAGGAGACGACAAGGATGCCTCCAGAAAGCTGAAGGTTGTGGCTGCTTCTGAAATCTTCTCCAGTGTCCAGATTTCTTTGTGTGGCGACTTCTACCAGATCTTGTTAAACAGTAGCAATTAGGAGCCTTGGGAGAAGAGTTTCCTGCAGACTTGGAGCTTCAGTGCTGTGCCAGTGGGCACTGAGCTGAAAGGAGTGGTCCAAAGGGCAAAGTCGCATCAGTAGCCTGGGGAGGGAGAGGCACTGAAGTCACTGTTGGCACAAAACTGAGCACGGGCTGTCTGTTTGGGCTGGGGAATAGAGGAAGGGTTGTAGCCACGGGAGGAGCAGGTTTTTGAAGACTGTCCTTTAGAACAGCAAGTATGTGTGTGTGGGGGGGGAAGTGCTGAATGGGTCTTGCAATGGCACGTGATTGTCTTGGGGTGGCTGGGTGGACCTGCAGAGGGTTGGAGGTCCACGTGGCGCTGTGTGAAATGCTCCCTGGAGCTCAAGAGAGCTGGGATGGGTACTGCTGCCCTGGGTGCTGGGCAGAGCTCGTGCGCTACCTGACTGCTGCCCTTCCTCACGTGCTGCTAGAGCCTGAACACGCCGGCAGCTCTTCCCTCCGAATGTGCATGTATATTTATATACACACACGTGTTTATAAGGCTCCCTCTGGAGCTCCGTCTCCTCTCTGAGAAGACCAGGTGCTTTCTTAAGTCACTTGTTCCTCAGCTGGTCTCATCCTGCAGCCCGCCTGGAAGGACCTGAGCTTCAGGAAGAGTATAAGTGTCTCAACTTTGTCTCCTTGGTGCCTTTCTCTCCTTTCCCAGGAAGAAACTGAAGTGAAAAAGAAGTGACTGAAAAAGAAATTAAGGAACTATTTGAAGGAATAGATTCATTTCTTAACAAGATCAAGTTTGAATTAAATGGCTGATAAACAGATCAGGTAACTTTTTAAAAAATTTTTTGAGTTGCTGGTTGTGCTTTAGATCTTTCTGTTAAAGACTTTAAATCTTAACCTTTTTGTGATACAGGAGGTTGGAGAAAATCACCTGATCATCTCTTCTGGCTTTAAACAGTTCTGATTCCCTCTCTGCTCCTTTCTCACCTGCTTTTTTTCAATCTTACCATATTTTCTGTCTTTGCCGTATTGCCATATCTCTGCTTTCTTCAGTTCTTTTTTTCTCACTGCCTTTTTCTTTCTGCCCTCTGCTTTTTAGTCTGCACGAATCGGTTCCTTTTAGCTTCCTCTTTCAAAGGTCAGCTTGACCTGCTGACTTCAGCTTGCTGACATCAAGGTTGCTCCTTGACCAGCTGAGGATGCAGTGCTTGTAATTACAAAGTCCCCATAGATGCAGTCTTGTGCTCTTCTTCTAAGGCCAGTCAATGCTTGAATGATTGCAGGAACATGAAGTACCAACAATAATTAATGACACTTAAGTGCACAGCAGGAACTTAAGAGCATTGGTCCTGGCATTTGAAAAGGCTGGATTTGCATCCTTCCTGGAAATTAATTGGGATACATTTTCTGGAGAGATACAGTTGTACCCTCAGCTTCCCCAGAGCTGTGTCTGATAGGTCTGCACAGTCCTGCACATGGGTTTAACTTTCTGCTGCTTGTGAAGTTGCCCTAGATAAATGACTCCTACTTATTGTGGGATTCCTGTGGGGTTTTTGTGGTCGTCTTCTAACATCTACTTTTCCAGTTGCCAGCTCAGGACAGGAGATGTCAGTGGGTGAATGAAACCTGGTGGCAGAGGGCCAGGTCTTGGCAATGCCTGAATGCTACAGCAAGAGGGCTGCCCCTTTTTAGCATTTGCCATGATTAGGATATCTTCCTGCCTGCCTGTCTTCTGCAAATGAACACAGTCCTGAGCTGTGCTGATAACAAGACAACACTGTGGAGTGTTTATGTGCCTAGATTTGCCTGTCATCAGTTATCCAGTTTGGAGAGTGCTTGGCACTCTTGTCTTGCACCCATGCATGCTGAGATTCACCTCCATGGAGCCTGACGGGTGTATGTCCCTGGCGGCCTCAGCAGAGCAAAAGGACCAGATGTCAGTGGCCATTTGAAGCTGGGTATTTTGAAAGAAGGGAAGATGTGTCCTCCAAGATTTCCCCCAGCCCCTCCAATGTGCTCTTGGCATTGTGAACAGGAGCTTGCTGGATACAGGGACCAGTTAAAAGGCCTGAGGAGGAGCACTAAGAGAGCTGGGATGCCTTTCTATCCCTTCTCATGTTAAGCTGAGCAAATGACTTTATTTGTATGCTAGCTTGTGTTGTCCCTGTTTCACTAAGCCCTGTGCACCTATGTAGTGAGGGGCAGCAGGTGTGCAGGAGCTAAATAGGACAGAGACACCAGGCACTGGGGATTCTCATCCCATGAGAGAGTGGAGAGCACAGAGGTGAAAAGTGGCTTGGTGTAGTTACAAGAGAAAAAGCTTTTGATTCAGGTGCAGTGCCTGCTGTCTCAGGTTCTTCTCTATGCCCCAAATCCTTCACCTCTCCCCCTTAGGGCATCTCTCCCATCTATGTGACCACAAGCCTGCAGCAGTCACCGGCAGCCAAGCCAAGGAGATCTGTTTAAGCTTGGAGGAGCTACTGCACCCTTCTTCCTTCGCAGCGTGCATCTGTCATCCCTCAGCAAAACGAGATTGATACCAAAAGACTAAAATCCACACTTGTGGTTTGCTGCAAGGGGAGATCAGGGGCATTGCATTTCTGCAGCAGTGCGCATGGGGCTTGACCTCAGCATCTCACCAGGTACAGCTGCATAGTCCATCTGTGCTAGTCTCCCTCTTCACAGCGCACGGGGGAACCTGGATGGTTGGATTCAGGTGCAGTGGGGGTGTTGAGCAAGGGTTTCTCACCCACAGACAGAGTGAGTGGCTCTCTGTAGCCCACGTTCCCCAGATTTTTGGCTTGCCCAGGCACATCACACTATCCCCCTTTATTGTTGGGGTCTGTGCTAAAATTGGGGAATCTTTTGCACTTATGGTGCCCGCAGGCAAGATGTTTGCCATGTGTCTGTGTCTCAACCCCACCCGATATAAACCCTGTGATTTCACTGTTGGAACAGGTTGAGAGGCAAGTGTCTGCCTGCCCTGGGTGGCTCAGGGACACTTAGAGAAGTGATGAGACTGGAAAGGGGCACTGGTTGTGCCTTGCAGTCTGTGACCTGCCAGCAGTGACTTTGGAGCTGAATCTGGGGAGGCTGTTGTGATCCTGTCTTGAAACACTCTCCTTCCCAGTGGTGCTTCCATCTTAACACACTTTTATCTGGTCTCTAACCTCCTCTTTCAGTGTGACTATGGGTTAAATAAAGAGAGCACCATGATGTGAAGCCTACTGTTTGAAATTTTCCCATGTCCTGAGAACAAGTTGAGCGTAGGAGTTTGGAGGCAAATCTATTCCCTTCTCAGACTGTGGTGCAAAGATCCCTGAGGCAACAGTCTGGAGCTGGTGAGATCTTGCATTCTGGCCCTGCCCTGAGCTCATGCACTGATTTGGGCCCGCCTTCCCGATGTGCTGTGCTTGATTTAATCTTGGTCAGCGCTGTCTTGTTTGGGGATGTGGGCTGAGCTCGGGTCTTTCTGCCTGTCCTTGGCACCTCTTCCAGCTGTGCCAGCCCTGGGGCTGCGTGTGTGTGTTGAAGAGGAAGGAGCTCTGGCTGCAGGAGAGCAGAGGCGGAAAGGAGTTTCCTGACGTGTCAAGGTCATGCTTAGCATTTGTGGGCAAAGACTTATTTTTTTTCCCACCCCTCTTTTGTCTACTTCCCCTAGGGAGAGCTCATGTTGAAACCCTGAGGCTCCATATGCTGCCTTTCCCTCGAGCCTGGAGCTGAGAAGGCAGCTCTTTCAGCACGGCTGCTCATTGATCCTCTCTGCCATTGCCCCTTGTTGCAGAATGCTGTGCAGTGCTGTTGGGGGGGTGGGGGGGGGAAACGTGTTTGCAGAGCTTAACCCCACCATGCCGTGGCCAGCCTCACCACTGCTGCTTCCAGTGGGTGATGCACTCTTGTTCCCCTGCCCAGAGGGTCACGTCACTGTCACGAAAGGTAGCGTGCCCATTCCCCCTGTGGGAGGGCTCAGCCAGCTGCAATCTAGGGCTGCTGTCAGCCATCAGTTTAATGTCCGACACATCCTGTGTTCAGGGAGCCATATCCTGCACTTTGTTGGAGGGAGCTGACTCAAACAAGCTTCCTTTGTCTCTGTGTGCAGTGGTTTACCGAGCATATAAGTGCTGGACATTTTTCATAATTGGATTCACTGGGAACCCATGTTTAGCTGATCTGGCTTTCACTCAGAGCCACTTGCAAGAATTCTCTGTGGGAACACAAAGGCAAACAGAAAAAGCCCCGTGTTTTAGAAGCACGTGCAGCCAGCCAGGTTTTGATTTCCCTGAGAGGTATGAGCTCACGTCTCTGAATCTGCGGCTGTGCAGGCTGCCAGTCCGGTGGTTTCACCGGGCTGTTGGTTTGTGTGTGTTCCCCTCGCCCCAGGCAGTGGGACTGGAAACAGTTTCCTGGAGCGGCAGCCGTCTGCTCCTCGGCTGCCAGCTGGGTGCTTCTGCTGGGCTCCTTCCCACATGATGGTAGCTGACGTGTCACGCACCTCTCATTAGATGCATATCTGATTGCGGTGCTGAAAAGCATTTGCCAGTAAACCTGCTGGCTTGGATGCCATCAGGCCCTGACTGAAGTCTTTCCACGTGGGAGATGGTCCAGCATTCTGTCTTTTCTCCTCTAGGGACAACAGAAACCCTTGCATCCTGGGGAACGGGGTTTGCCCTTGCTCTTAGCGATGTGTGGCTTGGCTGTTTGGCTCCATTTCACTCATTAGTGGTTTGTCCTGATCCTGTGTGCTGCTTTCCCCTCCTCCCCTGTACGTACAGCAAGGGCCAAGCTTTGCCTTGAGGCAGAGCTCCCTTCATGCTGGGGGCAGACAGCCTTCTCACACAGGGATGTATTAACTCTTGTCATGCAAAAGTGCTCCATTCTTTCCTCTTTCCCTCCCCAGTGCTAAGACATCTGTTTCTCTGCATCTTGTCCCCTTACAGTTTACCTGCCAAGCTGATCAATGGAGGGATAGCTGGGCTGATCGGGGTCACCTGTGTATTTCCCATTGACCTGGCAAAAACTCGCCTGCAGAACCAGCAGAATGGCCAGCGGATGTACACCAGCATGTGAGTACCGCCTGCACGGGCAGCATCCCCCAGGGATTTGGGCAGGGCATCCTTCCACTTCGTTACCTCTTTCAGGTGAGTTCAGCATTTCTAGGAACTGGGCTGTCCCCAGGAAAGCCAGGGGACAATCTTGAACTAAGCTGTGCTAGAGCAGATAAAGCAAATAAAGCAGCTGTTCAGGCTGCTGAGCCCAGCGGGCAGGATCTCTGCAGAGGGTACATCTGTTTGCATCCCTTGCTTGGGAGCAGTGTGTTCCCTGCTGTTAGGGCTCAGGACCAAAACACAAGGACCGGAATCAAGTGCATGAGGGAATTTCTGTCTCTCCTATTTCCATGACTCTCATATTGGAGGGCCTTCTTTTGCTGTGTCAGTTTTAAAAAGAGGAAGCAGTCACCCATTTTCAGTCTAGAGCACTGCATCTGGATAATCATAGGTTGACACATGCTGTTGTCACCCTAGCAGTCCTACGGTCAAAAAAAATTAACTGCTGTAGGAAAAAAAGGCGTGAATTCACCTGGGATTTGTGTGGGATGCTTAGGGCTGCGTATCTGCTGTGGGAGTGTGCACCACAGTTAGCACAAGATGCTTTATCCTAGGAACCAGGGTCAGGCCTTATTTTCCTCTTCCCTGCCCAGGGGCATTTGAGGCAGAGTGGGAACAGTAAGGAAATGCTCTGTACATTGATGGTGTTAGTCTTGGGGCCTCCTTGCTCTAGCTGACAGCCTGTAAATATGCATGAGCTTAAGCTGTGAGCTCTGGCATGCCACGGCAGACTGGCACTTCCCCTGACAGTTACAGTGCTCTCTACTCCCTGTGTTTTGTGTCCCCAGGGATGCTGGCGGGATGTGGCTTCCCATCTTGCCTTGCCTCTGCTTTTTGTTGTGTCCTGCTTTTGCTGCTGCTGCAGATCGCTTCCCCTCCCTGAGGTTCGCTTCTGCCCCTGACCTGATAGGCGACAGCGACAGGAGCTTGGGCAGGATGGAGGATTCATAGGCTCCCCTTGGGAGTGCATGCCAAGATGCCTCATCTCTGGAGGGGGTCTCAGCAGGAGAGAGGCTTTTAACCTCCCGGCAGTCAAGCACAGATCTGTTCTGTAGCCAGGGGTTGTGGGGTGAGACGCAGTTAAGGAATACACAGGATTTACCCTGTATATTTGAGCTGGCTTCTCCTAAGAGCCTGTGACAAAGCCTGGACATGAATGAGTAATGCTGGAGGTATTCCTCTGGCATTGGCAGCAGCTGTAGGGAGAGTGAGCTTGGGCTGGTGAGGATAAGTGAAAGGGTCTTTTGGGGGCTGAAGGGCCAGCAAGGACAAGGAGGTAATGGGGATAACACATCCTCTAGGTCTTGTGTCCTACCCAAGCAAGCGAAAGGCGCTAAGAGGATGCCGTTGCCCTGCATGGAGCATGTCTTCAGAGACACCCTTACTTTAGCTATGGATTTGTGAGGGCCTGTCTGAGCTCCCCAGTTACAGGGGCTTATATTTCAGGAAATACTGTATACCCATCAATACCGGATCTCAAAGGTGTCTGATGAACACCCAGGAAGGCAGCAAGTTCATTTAAAATTTTGGCTGTCTTGCTTTAAGACAGCATGCCTCGCTTCTTTTCAGCTCAAGAGACCTTTGGCATCAGGAGAGTCTTTCTCTTGAAAGAGCCAAAGACACTTTGGAGCCGCCCTGAGGGCTGGAGAGAGCTGAGCTTTTGGGCCGCACTGCCCCAAGTATATTATATATAATTTTAGCTGGCTTTTGGCTCTCCTTTTCTAGGGAGAGAAAGGAGATGGGCATGGCCTTGGCTCCATCTCGCTGTGCTGCAGCTTGAGGGGCTGGGAGTGACATGCAGAGCCTTCTGAGGAGCAGCAGGGCTGCGTGAGTGTTGTGGGAGCAGCTCTTCCTGCTCCCCTTCTGCTGCGGCCAGTTCAGAGCAGCACCACTGGCTTGAGGAAAATACCCTGCCTCCAACATCAGGGTAGAAGAGCTTGATGGGAGGCGATAGGAAAAAGGTGCCCCAAGATTTCTGGGGCTTCTAAATGTGTTGGGGGAGCTGCTCCTAAGTATGAGACGAGTGCGTGCAAGCTGGGGTGGGGTGTGTGAAAGATAAGGTCCCAAAGGATGTGGGGAGTCTCAGCAGAGAGGGCGAAACTCATTGTCAGAACAGGCAACAATGCAGGATGGGCTCTGCATAGATAACGTGGGGTACCCTAGGGCAGCCTTGACCTGAGTAGGGCCATAAAGCCCTCGAGAGGACTCTGTGTTTGCTTCTCTCCCACCTCAGCACTACTGCAGAGCGGAGATGAAGTTTACTCCTCGTGTTGCCAAATCTCTTAGAAATCTATTATTGTTTTCATCAGCTACGCTTCCCTTATTACTACTTAAGAGTCTTTTGTTCCTTAATTATATGCACATGCATACATGTGCACCTCTCCCTTCCCAAAGACCCCAAAGCAGCCTTCAGCTAGTGCCCGGGCTTCCTACAGCTGTGAGTCAGAGAGAGAAGCTCCGCCAGGGGATCTGCGCTGCCTTCCTGAACTGCACCTCTGGATTTGTTAGATGGGTGTCTGTGCCTTCAAAAGGCTTTGAGCCATTTCACCGCTCTGCACAGTTCTCTCATTTGCAGTTGATGTAGCTGAAACAAAGAAGGCAACGGTTTTCCCGTTGGAGCGGACCTCTGCGACACCCTGCCATGCTCTCCCCAGGGGAAGAGCCCGAGCGCTCGCTGCCTGCTGTGGGGCCCAGTGTGTTAAAAATAAGTGCTTTAATCTGCGTGGGAGGTCACAGTTGACTGAGCGCTCAGGTCATCTAGCGTTTGTGTGGCTTGTGTCGAATTTCACGGAGCAAGTCAGCATTGGGGATTTTGGCCCCCCCCCTTATTTCCCTTCCAGAGCTGGATTTAAAAGCATGCGCATGGGGATCTGCTTGTTAGAGCATCTCATGTATGTTTGCCACGGGAGACCCTGGATAAACAGCCCTTGCAGTGACACTTTTCCCTTTTGTGTTTCTAGAAAGCGGACGGCGCGGGCGGGGTGAGCCCGGGGGTTTCAAAGCCCCTGTGAATTAGGGGCTGAAATTGGACGCAGGCCTGGACAATGGCACGTTCAGCGCCTGACGCGCGGTCCCCTTCTCGGCTCAGAGTTTTGTTGACGGATTGTAAATGAAAACCACTCCAAGAGATTTGTTTTGTTTTTCTCTGCTCTCGCCCACCTTTGAGCTGTCACGGTTTATCTCTCTCCGTTTTGTTTGCAGGTCTGACTGCCTCATTAAAACAATTCGGTCGGAAGGCTACTTTGGCATGTACAGAGGTAAGTAAAGCTGACTCAGGCACGGTGCAACTTTTGTGCTGGGAGCACTGGTGTGTAAGTGGGAGGAAAAGCCCATATTCTCTGCCTTACAAAGGAACAACCTAGCAATGTCCTAAGATGTTGAAAGGTGCAGCTGTTTTGGAAAATAAACTCTTCCACACCAGGTGTCTGCTCAGCTCTCCATCACTGAAGGCTTGAGTCCTCCCCATGGCTGTTTTGGTGTTACACCTTACCATTTACTGATGTTCCATCTTTACTAGCAGTTTAAGTAAAGTTGCTGGACTTTGTTTCGGGACCATATGTATGTGTTTCCCAGCTTGGGCATGCTAACTTTTATCAGAGGGGCAGTAGCAAACCTCTTGAGGTGTCTTACTTTGTTGTTGATGATTGAATTTATGTCAAAGCCCACCACCAACGTGGTCAGGCCTCCTGTCCCATTTAGTTGGTAGCTCGTCTCCAAAACTAGCTGTCTCTCAAGCATGCTTGAGTGCTTTGTTCAAGTATTAAGACAAGCTGCAATTAAAAAAAAAAATAATTAAAAAGTAGCCAGCCCCCAGAAAAAACTCCCTTGGGGTGGTAAGAAAATCAGAGGTTGGCTCATGGTAGAGCTTCAGCTCTTCGGTGGTTGTGTGCTAACCTGCTAGAAATCTCCTGGCTCCTTGCCTTAGGCTGTCTGTTACAGCAGTGAGTTTCTCAATTAACATTATACCTTTTCTAGTTTAAACACAAAATCCTTGAGGGATTTTAAAGACTTTGAGGAGAGAGGAACAGCAGGCCAAATTCTGACTTTACTCATAGCAGAGGAAAATGTGGAATACCTTCTTTGCTTTCAGCACAGTACAGCTGGCTTAGTTGACACTGAACCCTGGTTCATTTTATATACTGGTATGCAACTGCCTGAATATGCAGTTTTATCTCTGAGGGATTCAGATAACATTCTTTGTGGTGCTCAATCACTGATAAAGCCCAATTAAAGTACTGCTCTGATTAAGTGAGTCCTTGTTGGGTTTTTTTTGGTTTTTTTTGTTTTTTTTTTTTTTTCAAGCAGGAGTCCGGAGATGCTGGCACCTCACTGTTAGCAGCAGCGGCGTCTCCTGCTTCCTTCCATCGCTCCCAAGGAAGCGCAGGCGCCGCAGCCGGCCGGCCTGGGGGCAGGCACTGGCTGTTGAGGCAGTGTCTCTTGCCCAACTCGCCGGTGGGCGTTGCAGGGGAGTGGGGTGGACGCCGGGGATGGATTGGCTGTTCTGCACCAGCTTTCCTGGGAGCAGGCGACAAGACAAATAACCCCGAGGAACCCTGGCAAGCTCCATCTTCAGTGCTAGCAGTGACGCGATCCCCCTTGATTTTTCCCAGAAGCCAGCTGCTTCTGTGTTCCAAGCCAGGAACGGAGCCTGCATCAACTTTGGCTGTAAATACGCAGCGGCAGGCTGCTTGCTGGGGAGCAGAAGGGAGACGCCGTTCCTGTAAACTTGGAGGAGACTAGGACCCATCAGGGCTTTTGGGAGAGACAGCTCAGTCCTGTAAGATGTAGGGTGGTGGGCGAGGTGTGCATCTCCAGGCCACCTTTCACTCCCAAGCAGAAATCTCAAAGGGTGCAGAGGGTTTGGCGTAGCTCTCGCTTTTCCTAGCCCTAATGAGTCTAGTCAGCTTGGTCCATGTCCCACTAGCTCTGTACCCTCTCTCTTCAGGCAGCTGATAGTGGCTTGCATTTACTTGTCACCTCTGACTATTAAATGAGGAGCTGGGTTTGAAGAGGGATTTTGGGAATAGCTCCAGCTTCTTCCAGAAATGCATAGATGTTTCAGCATGGCCAGGACGCAAACGTGAGTCCTCCATGTACAGCAGTCCTCATCTCAGCGCCTCGGTTCTGTGAGCTGACATTAGCAGCCCTTCCCTCCCTCTTGGGGAGAGGGTGAGCGGGTAAAATGCATCCAAGATTTGTGAAGAATGTCAGTACTTTGCTGGGAAGAAGGTAAAGAGACGGCTCAGCCTTGCAGACAGGGGAAGATGGAAATCAGATGGTGGGATTGGTTCCTGCTCCCTCCATCTGTCCCAGTTCCCCAGCAGAAGTTGCTGTATGACTCACAAGCTCTTATTTTCAGCCTTTAAGCTGAAGTTGGGAGGATTATATGTTAATATACTAAAGTGGCAGCTGCTGTGCCCCATGGAGGAGTCCCAAGTGCATCAGTCATCCCTGCAGGGCCCGTGGCCTCTGTCGGAGGACAAGGAAGGGTCTGCTTGGGTGCAACCATTCCCCCTGTGTGACCTCGGGTCTCCTTCACCTGTGAATCAAGGCTCCTCAGTGCCTGAGCTTGTAGGATGCTTTTCTGTAAATCATCTCCTAAGGGGTGCGTGTGGGCAGACAATCCTTGCTCTGGATGAGTAGCCCATAGTGAATTGTGTGATGTATAAGGCAATGGCAACATTTCTCTTGAGTTCTTCCCTAAAACTTACATGGATTCTTGAGTTTATTTGAGGGAGGAAGTGGAGGAGGTTTTTTTCCTTGTGGTTTTTTCTTGCATTTAGCCGAGCTGGTGGGAGCCAAGGGCCTAAATCAGGCTGGGGAAATGCCCTTTGCTGTTGATGCTTGGAGGGAAGCGGCAGTTTAGCCGGAGTAGTGTGGCAGCCTTCCTTGGCCTCTGCTAGTAATACCTCCCACATGCACCAGTGCCACACTGGGGATGACTCACTCCCCTGTTATGTAGGTTGCTGGTGGTATATAAGGGTTTCTGAGAAATGTGTTTTAATAACAAAACCCAAGGCTCGGGGAGAAGAGGGTGCTTACAAGTTCAGTTGGCAAACAGCTGGTTTTGCTGCTACTTAATTTTGTTCTTTGTAGTGCTTCCATACTTACTGTCAAAATATTTTTTATTTTTTAATGATTGAAATTTATTTCAATCTGTATGTCTGTCATTGCTTCTGGTACATGTAGCATTGCCTATAGGGCAAGGTTAGCGTTAATTAGTGAAATAGTCATTAGCGTAGCTAGAATTGAAAAGCTATGAAATTTTGTAAAAAGGTAGAAAATGCTGTGGAAAGCATACAGCCGGCAGCTGAAGTATCTAATTTGTCCTCCTCCAGTGAATTGAAACTGCTATGGATTATTGAGGACAGGGATTACCCATTCTCTGCTAAGCAGCTTTACTGAAAATACCAAAGATGTAGGAGAAAACCCAGATTCATCTCTATTGTGGTTTTTTTTTTTTTAACCCTCTACTTCTATTTGCAATTGAAGGAGAAATTGCTGTGGAAGCCTCTTGATTCCTGGAGGAGGTCAGCACGTGGAAGCGTACTTCTCGCTTACCTTTCTTGCTTGATGGTTTAAAGTTAGTTTTAGTTCTTTCAGTGAACCCTTTGCACTGGTGGTAGAGTAGTCGGTTTATTCTTTTTTTCTTTCTCTCCTTGTTTTTCCAAGGAAGTGATTATTCATGCTGCATGTAGTAATATACAGGTATTTTCCTTTCTAGCTGTTAGGAGTGGGGTTGAAGTCCTCAACTTGGCATTCAAGGAAAGGCTTCATGGGTAACAACTTCCACTTAAAAATCAGGCTGTGTGGATTTGCATTGTAGATCCTGATATGACTGGCATTAAAAAGTGGAGGTAGAGCATGAGGGTCGTGTCTCTGTGGCTTCTCATCACGTGCAAGAGCCAAGGTGGGGGGACATGATTTATAGGGAGCACACCAAGCTGGAGTAGCACGATCACTGATACACTTGAAAGTTTGCAAAAACCCGGGAGTCTGAGAGGGCTGCCCTGTTACCTGGCCAGTTAATTTGGCTCCTGCAGGAGATCCTGGCATTTGTTGGATGTCTTGGCCACTGTGAAATGAATGCATTGGCTTAGCTTGCTACGGGGCAGCATTACTTTCTATTTTCTGCAGAATCTGAACGTGGCAGACCGAAGGGGGGGGAAGATGTGTCGGGCTGCCCATCCCTGTCCAGCAAAGGCTATTTTCTTGCTGCCATTTCCCACATAATGGAGATGTGTCTTCTGAGCAGAGGATGTGGAGCCAAGGATTCCTGTGTCCTGGTCCCAGAAGTCCCAGCTGTGTCTGGTTCCTAATCAGAGGAAAGTCCCCTTAAACTTGTGTGTTTCCATGTCTAGTTTAGGAGTTCAATAATTTTTGGAGGGAGAGGAGTCCATCCTGAGGAACAGAGGATTGAGTTGCCTTTCTTTGGATGTGTTGAGCCCTTATGGCTCCTGTCAACTTGTGTTCAAACCTACTGAAAACCCAGCCAGGTCTTTGGAGCCTAGTGGGGGTGCAGGCTCCTCTGTCTGCTTTTTGGAAAATGGAGCTTTGGGACAAGTTCTTTAAATCTCTACAGCCAGCATAAATGCAAAAGGCATACCCTAGTATTTGTGTTTGTTCTTGCAAAGGTGTGCATAGGCCAATGGCATGTCTCAAGTGAAGCTCCTCTGGAGGACTTGGAGCTCAGTAGGCTTCAGTGCAGGTAGGGAGAGCTTGCCGTTGTCTGCTGGAGGACTTTTTGAGCCATAAGATTCAAAGGGAGGAGAATATTCTGGAGCGTTAATCTAACGGTGCAAAACCCAGTATGCTCAGAAGGGACAGGCCCTCCCCTCACCCCGTTTCCCCTGGGGCAGCTTGAAAGCTGCCTCCCAGCCGCTGTGTTGCACTAATGCCGGTGTCCATGGCCCACAGCAGGCGGCCAGGCCCTGCAGACCTTTCATTGTGGCAGGCACAATACAGGGATTTGCTATTTGCTCCTGACAAAAGGGCACTCCAGTGGGTGTGGGGGGAGCCAAGGCTTGTTTACACCCCAGGATTCCCAGCAAGCCTTGTCACGGTGGTGGTGCTCGGAGGGGAATTTCTGCACACTGCAGCTTGTGGTGGACAAAAAAGCACTTCAGCGGTGGCTGTTTTGAGAGTGACACCCAGTGGTGATATACATGGGGAAACCACTTAACTCCAAGGGTTGGTCCAGAGCTGGCCGACTTGGGTGCAGATGAGCCAGTGGACTTCAACCAGCCTCCAGGTCTTTCAGTGGCTCTGCCTTTTCTGGGCTGCCTGGTGTAAGCAAGCTGCTCTGCTTTTGGTGGCGGTCGGGCAGGAACACTAGCAAGAAGGTGGGGCGGGGGACTTCTGCTTCTCAGCATCACAAAACATTTGCAAAGGAGTTGGAACTGGTTATTAATCCAACTAGTACTCCTTTCTTGAAGGTCTGATCTGCATCCTTCTGGATTCATAGTAATGCATCCTTGGATGAGAGAAGAGGATGCATGTATGCATGGTGGGAGATAGTAGTGAAGCTAAAGAAGTTACAAAAAACATAATGCAAATGGAGTAGAAAGACATCAGGGGATGTATTCAAAAACCCAAGCTGTCAGGAGGCAGGAATCATTCATTTTCAGTGGTGTTTCATGTTTCTAAACCCCTTTGGTGCTTGGGGAGCTCTCCTTCATCACTCCTCGGTTTTGAGCAGGAGTTACAACACATTCCTGAAAGATCCAGTTAACGGTCCCTTTATTCTCATTCTCTGATGGCCTTTTCCTCTTTTGCTTGCCCAGGGGCTGCAGTAAACCTGACTCTAGTGACACCAGAAAAGGCTATCAAACTGGCAGCCAATGACTTCTTCCGGCATCACCTCTCCAAAGACGGGTGAGTAGGAGGCGCAGACCTTTTGTATTCAACTGAAGTCACCAGCTCTTGGGACTAGTCTGGTGAGACATCAGGGCAAAGGTAGAATGGCGTGATATGATGACTGGAATCTGAGTTGACCTTGAACAGCTCAGCCGGTGATTACATTTGGGCTAAGGATGTAATGTCTATAATGGGAAGTGAAAAGCACTCCACTGGATGACTGCTTTTTATTCAAGCTTCTAAGAATAGTCCCAGATCTAAGCCAAGGTTAGCAGATCCAGAATTTGTAGGCAAAATACTTGAGAGGAACCAATGGCACCGATCACTGCTCAAACAGCTGCTGGGAGGACGCTTGTCCTCAGCATCCTATTGGATACACTTTCTGGCTTGAACAGATGGCAAGTCAAGTTCTTGCCCAAACTTAGCATCCCTCTTGTCCTTTTGTAGCTTGAAGACGGTTTTAGAGGGGTGGTGAATCGGAATTGACGGGGGTACTTGCAGTGTTGCCCGGCAGCTGACCTGCAAATAAATGCTGAAGGAATAAAATTATCTGTTCAGTTTGCAAGTGGGCATTGGTTCGTGTGAATTAAGTATGAATATAATGTGAGTCAGATGCTAGCTGAGCCGTTGAGAGGGGCTGGACCCTGAATATTTAATGCCATTTTCACCAAGATATTTCCCTTGCAATTTGGAGAACACTTGTGTCTCCCTTCAGACCGAGACCTTTCTGCAGAGACAGTCAGTGAAGGTCACTGTCTCCAGTCCCCAGTAACAGTAGTTAGAAAACAGCCTGCCTGGGGATATGATCCTGACTCTTCCCATCAGCAGTGATGGGGAGGTGCCTCACTGAAAATGCAAAGCTCTGCCGTGATTACTTGGTTTAACAACTTCCCATAGCATACCATGTCAGTCTTGGCTGCTGCAGATCAGTGGCTCAGCAACTTCAGTGGAGATTGTGAACCGACGCAGGTTGAGGATCTATTTTTTTTTCATGTAGCTAATTTTTTTGTTCTGGAGTCTTTTAAGGTAGCAGCTAACATACGTCTGTGTGACTCATCAGCTTGCAGCTGTTTGTGATTTTATGTCTCTCCAAATAGTGTCTCCTCTCTGCTCTGCTCAGACAGTGGGAGGTAATGATTCCTCATTGCTCCTCGCTTCTGCTGGGCGGTGGGTCTGATCCCTGCAGCAGTCCGTGGCGCACTGCAGTAGCTCTTTGCCACCACCTACCAAGTGGGGGCTTAGTAGGTTGTACCGGGAAGACGAGGGGTGCCAAGCTGCCACACCTTGTACCACCAATGAGAGAGTGGCCCCTGGAAAAAAATCAGACCAGCGCTGCAACAGATTTGATGTTTTGTGAGAGCAATCATTGCTGTGATGTTTCGGCCATTAGAACATGACATGCCTGTCAGTAGATGTCCAGCAGGTAAAGACTTCCTCACGGGACAAATGTGTGTCTGCCTCTCAGTGTTGAGGCAGGCTTTGAGCAGGTGTTTGGGTGAGTGGAATGCAGCTGAGGTCTTCAGCCAAGCCTCTTCCAGTTTGATTTCTGGGTTCCTGGCTGATCCACACATGATGTGCTGTGCCTGATTCAGACTAAATGAGCTAGAGTTTTGCCAGGAGTAAGACACCCTGTTTTCTTAAAACATATGCACTGGTGGGACTGGCACTACAGTGACCTGGAGCAGGAACATGATACCACCCAGGTAGTGGGGAGCCTTTGTGTCTTGACACAAAGCATTTTTAACTCCTTTAGAGAAAAGAAAGGTTGGGCCATGGTTGGGTGAGGAGCTAGGCAGCCTGTAGAGTCGGGGTCACTCATGTCATTGAAACACCAGGGGGAGCTTGGATGAATGAAATCTGGTCAGCTCTGCTTGTGACGATAGCCAGCGTGAGCTGGTCAGAGAGGCAGAGCCTTGATAGTGCTGTGGTAGATGGTTTAAGGTGTTTCTAACTAGAACTGTCACTCCTAGATGTGATGGGAAGGAATATGCCTCGCAGATTGTCTGTGACTGGCATAGGCTATGAACCTGGGATCTAGCTGGAAGATCTGGTGCGTGCTGTGACCTTGCTTAGTGCAAGGGAGCAGGGGGAGATGGAGGAGGCCACGACGTTACCAGGGAGGATAAGGGCCCCTAGGAACGGCAAAGCAGCTGCTCATGGTGGGATCCTCTTCCTCCATGCTGGGGAAATCCCAGGCCTGGGGATGGAGTCGGTAACCTGCTGCGGGGGTTGTGGCTGGCTGTGCTGCAGTGGTTGCATGCCGCCTTGCCTTTAGCAGTTCCCAGGATCTTTTCCCATGTGTAGCATGCGTGGCGAATAGGAGTGATGGTGAGGGGCCGTTTCACTGAGTCGCAAAGCTGTGTGTCCACCAAGGGTTTGTCCAAGCTGTGTGTCCACCTTGCTCCCTCTTTTCAAGCTGTTTGCAGGTTTCTCCCTTGAGATATGTCCATCCCCTCCTCTCCAGCTGTCTTTGTAAGACGGGGCAGTGTTAGCAGTGCTGGAGTCCAAGGGCCTCTCCTACCCAGGGCAAAACAGGGTACATACCTGTTAGCGCATCACGAGGCTGGGCCACCTATGTCACAACCCCAGTCAAAACCTAGGTATGAACAACAAAACAGCTCAAGTTAGAAAGGTGAAGATTCAAGCTGCCTGGCACGTCAATGTGGTTTCATTTCTGGGTATGTAATTGGAGCAGTCAAGGTGTTTTATGGTGTGAAGTGCCACTGAGGGAGTTAGGCTCAGTGTAAGGTTGGGGGCTGCTTCTTCACGGTGAGCCACCAGGATCTTCGTTCAGCTCCACCAAAGTCCTTTTTGCACAAGCCAGACTGAGTTGCTATACATTCATAGTACGCTGCGCTCTTAGGCCAGCATCCCAAAGGATGCTCTGGTGCTTTTCTGACTCAGCAAAAGTCTCCTAGACCTCTTTGACATTGAATGCCTTTGTTGCTAAGCTTCTAGCACTTGTCTTGCTTGAAATGTGTTGTATGACTTGGAGATCCTTGTCTGATAAAATGTTCATGTTCTATCAGTATTTGCTGATTTAAAATATGATGAGCGTGTCCTCCACGTGCAAGTGGAAGAAGCACATGTGGACCAGAGAGAGTGTGGCAAATCCAGCATGACCCAAAGTAGCCTCAAGTTACACAACAACTTTTAGTGTGCATTTTTTTTTTATCCTTTGAAAAACTTGGTGTTGAAATGAACTTGCTTTTAAACTGCTAGTAATGAAAAAATGGCATAAAGCCTGCTTTTGAGCAGCTCGACTGAAAACAACACCTGCGGTGTAGGAAGCTCCTGGCTGCAAATTGCTGGAAGAGTATTTTGGGGATGTATCACTGCAGGTTTGTGCTAGACTCCCTTTCCCCTGGCAGTGCTCTTGGATGCTGCTGGAGGTAGAGTATTGGGGCAGCAGGACCTCATATGGGACCACGGATCTCCCTGAGTCCACCCTGGGGGCACTGCTGCCTGTACAATGCTTTCCCCTTCCTTTTGATGAGGAAGGATGAGTGCTCACAGGCTAGGGGACTTGATTTCTGCTTTTTCGCCTGTTTCTGTTTTGATGTCGTGGCCACTGTGAACAGCCTACTGCTTCTTGTTTCATGAGAAAACAAAACTGTGTTGGTCCTCCCAAGCTGTCCTGGTCATTTAGGCACAAGGAAGGCCTGGGTGAGTTGTGTGAGCGCTAGAAACCCACTTGCTATGCCATGGAGAAAAGGGGGAAAGATACTGAAACACCTGAAGGGCACCCCGTGACCCTGGTTGACAAAAGCAATAAGGGTCAAACATTGTCCTGTGCTGATTTTGGCCTGCAGCTCCCAGGAGAAGAAGTAGAAGAGGTGACCCACAGAAGAGTCTTCAGGCAGGTCCTTGTTCCTGTGGCACTCTGTGCTGGCTGGACCGCACGGCTGGGGAAGGCAGCGCACCAGAGAGAGGGGAAATTTCCAACCCTCAGGCTGCTGGAAGCAGATGGGATTTTTTTTTTTTTTTTAAATTCCCCGGGGTTTCTGAAGCTGAATGTGTTGAGAGACCCATAATCTCACAGCTGCTGTTAAAATAGCAGCAGCTTCGTTGTCCAGAGAAGAGGATGTGAGGAGTCACTAGGGCTAAGTGAAGCACTTGAGTGTGAAGCACTTGGGCATGAAGCTGAGAAAGTGATTTCAATCAGTAGTACACCAACATGCATTTAAAGTAGATTGTTGATTTCTGGGTGCTCAGTGTGTGAGGCCTCTGATAGATGTAAGTATTGCCTACTTTTTATGTCCTCTTTGAATTTGGGTGTTAAACACTTCATAAAACCCAGTCCCTTTAAAATGTCCCACAAGGTTTCATGTTTATCTCCAAAGTGTTGAGTGCCAGGCAGCTGTTGTGTTTGGCATGTGCTTGCCAGGTTTTGTTGTTCATTTTTCAGGTTCTTGGTTTTAAATACCCTGCCTTGGCTGTGGTAAAAAATGTCTCATGGCTTCTTACAAAAGCAATTTCTTGCTCATAAAAACTCTTCAGTGTCCCTGGATGAGTTTCCTGCTGCTCTTTTCCAAGGTGTGTTATTCTCTTACATCTCCTGTCCTCTTTAATCTTGACCTTCATTTTGTTTGCTGTTCTGGAGCAAAGGCTGGCAATCTGCTGACTTAGCAGCTTGAATTCCTAGGAAGACCAGCGTGATTGCGTTAATTGTGTCTTTGCGGATGCCGGCAGTTGCGCTTCCTTTCTGCTTCCCCCCTGCCTTGTAGCTTTGCTCAGATAAGAGAAATAGCCAACTGTAATCCTGAGACCGGCAAGGCACTTTTCCTTCCCAGCTGATACGTCTCCCCAGGGCACCTTCCTTCATCTGCTCCTCTTTCAGGCTCTCCTAAAGCACTCCGGCCATCTCTTCTGTGGCATCTGTTTAAGTAGCCATTGCACGGCCTGGCTGATCCTTGAGCTGCAGAATGCTCAGAGACAAGCTGTCAGGTTAGGCTCCTGAGCGACGAAGGAGGGATGCTGCTGCTAGTCCTGGTGCTGAGCTGCTGTGTTACCTTGCACACAGCTTTGGTCTTTTCTGGGCAGGAACCCTTGTGGGCCGAAGCAGCCTCTCCTGTAGTTATCCACTGGATGTCCAGACACTTCTTTAATGCAGATAACCCTCATCCAACCCACTGGGGCTTGTAGGTGGGGAAATCCAGCGCTTCTCCTAGAGAAAGAGCCAGTTAAGAGTTGATAATCTCACTGTGCCTATTCAGGGATAGCTATTTGTGTGGGGGGGTGCCTTTTATTTAGCACACAGAGGCTCAGAGCATTAGAGTGGGATGAAGCTGTAGACATCAAAGGTCAACCAGAGAGTAAATGCACTTTCAGCTGTTAATCTAGAGGGGGCTAGAGGTGGGCTGTTTAATCACAGAATACACCCATGAGAGGAGCATTGCCCTTGTCTCTGTTCCAGGCAGATGTGTTGGTACAAAACACGGGTTGTGCCCGTGTGCGACATGCCCAGATATGTTGCCCTGTTCATTGTTTACTTCCACAGACATTCGTATTGGAACAAAACTGTAGGGATCTCCTACCAGGGCAAACGTGATGTAATGGGTGCGGGCACAGAGTCACCTTCCTCTTGACTTAATTTAAACACACAACCCAGAGCTCCTGCAGTCAGAGGTAGGTTGTACCGTACCTGGACTAATGTCTGCTAGAGCAGCATTTAATCTGGTGGTGTTACTTTCAGGTGGGTCTGTCCCATGTTAGTGCTTTGTTTTGCTTGTCTGAGGCATTTTTGAGCTGGCACTAGAAGTGAGTGTGAGCTTGTGATGGAAATTGCCTTGCTTTTACGTTTCCCAGCATCATAGCTCCAACTTTCCTGAAGTGCGGTTGTTAATAGCTTGTTCCCCCTTGGAAGATCAGGCTTGGATTAAAAGGACTGACTGGCAGGTTGTGTGCATGTCCCCGTGTGGCTGTGGCAGACAGGTTGCCCTCCCTCTGAAGGACAACTCCTGTGTGTTGGTCCCCTTATCCATATCAATGGCCCACTATTTAAATTGTTTGAAAGCAGCTGACTCTTTGGTTTGAAACTCTTGGGGCGTTTTCTACAACCTTTTGGGTTGGCAGAACAGAGGCAGAGGTTATTTTATGAGTGAGGAAGGTGATGCCCAAGCTGGGGACAGTAGCCTCTCAGGTAGTTAATGGGAACATATGGCTTTGTACGGATGTTTCCTTAGGTCAAAGAATTCCTGTCTTGGGAAATCCTTATTCCAGAATGGCTGATTTTGGTCCCTGCCCAAGCACAGTCAACTCCTGCACGATCAGGATTTTTCAGAAACTTGAAAAAAAAATCCTGCTCTGCTCCCATGTGACATCAACATACCAATGCTTTCTGAGATCCTAACTTTGGACTAACGCATTGCTCTTGTAAAGCCCTCCACAAACTTCTAGTTCCTGCTTTTTGGCTTTTTAATTTTTCAGCTCTAGTTTAAAACTCCAGTTTAGATCAAGCATGAATCCCCTTCCCATTTGACATGGTTGATTTGTCACTAATTAATTGCATGTCAGTTTAAAAAGTGGAACAACTGATTTCTGCCAGTGCAGAATTTGGGGCTATTGTGTATATGTTTTATCACAGCAAGAGGGTGTTAAATATAAGATGGTTTTTACATTTGTAGGACCAGAGCCTTGCTGATGTTGCAGCTTTTGAAGCTAGTTGAGATGTGCCAGTTCTTAAACCACTGGGGGTAAGGCCTGTGGTGCCTTAAATATCTAAACCCCTTTGTCATCTGGAGATGAACCATTTTCAAACTCCTTTTATGTGCAGACTGGTGAGGCTTTTGCAAAGGAAGTTTGACCCCTGCGTGGCAAATTTTAAGCCTCCTGACAAAAGATTTGCTTATCTTAGGCTATTTTTTTTCTTGGACTCCCCCCAGTTCCCAGGATATATAAACTAAAAGCTGAAAGCCCTTGTTCTAGATGTTTTTGGTGTACCTGTTTGATATCAAATATACCCATCCACATAAATCCTTCGCTGGGTCACACTGGCAGAGGTCTGTAGAGTTGAATTAAGCCAGGCTGACTTTTGTTGGCTGGGATAATGGTCCGTAGATGAACACGTAGGGCACAACTTTCCTGAGTTTTTGAACCAGGTATCAAGGCGCTCACCCTGGATGAAAGCCAGGAGGCATGTACTCTGGGGTTGCTCCAAGGCTCTTGCTGAAGTGGGAGATGCTCTGCTGTGCCGTAGAGGGGGACTGACACCAGCAACTTTGAGTGGTTTGATTCTGCTGGAGGCTGGAGGCGCGCACCGCCGCGCCCGCGGGGGTAGCTCCGTGGGAGGGATTGTTCTTTGCAGCTTCTCATCTGTGGGGGGGAATTTGGAAAGGGGAGACCACGAAATGTTCCTCCCTTCAGCCTCACAGGAGAGCTCTATATTTAGTCGCTCTTAATCTCCATTGTGGCTCTGTGCCTCTAATCCCCTGCTCTGATATCCTCCCTAGAGAAGATGAGAGGTGGAGAGATCAGCCCAGCTGATGTGGTAGGCCAGCAGGGTTATGGTCCATCTCCCCTCCCTTTCCTATAGGGCTAGCACTGAAATTTCTTTGCGGGCCTGCAGTGCCCCACCTGTGCCGTGTGTGTGTGCATATGAAACGCCTGGTAAGGGCGTGTGGCTTGGTTTTGCAAGGGAACAGGGCATATCGCTGTGTGACTGCTTTTGCCACAACGTGGGGACTCGCCTTGAATAGATTAAGATGAGATCTTGCTGCAGGAGCAGGGCTGGGGGGGAGGGAATAAAAATAGTACTTGCATTCATTTAAAACGGGAAAAAGAGGAATATGTTTCCTTCTGGCTGTGTGATTTATATATGCCTTTTTTTTTCCCTTTTAGAAGAGAGCAGATCAGAGGCACTTCTTTTTTTAATCAAGTCAGTGGTGCCAAGGGGTGAGATTTTTTTACAGGGTGAAAACTTATCAGTTGCTGAAAATGGAGGCTTTCTGAGCGTTTGCATCCCGAGTTCCTCTTTTTAGTCTTAGATGGGCTGTTTTGTGTCTGTTTTGGGGTGGAGGGAGTTATGAAATGCTGCATTTTGTTAGCCAGGGACGTGTCGCTGATAATCTCTGCTCTCTGATGTGGAGGATGCACGAAGCTGCAGTGCTGGGCATCCATCCTGTCCCTTGTCCCTCAGGCAGGGCCAGTTGAGTGCAAAGGCTACTTTTTCAGGTTTGGGAAGGCTGGTAGGGTGAAGATGCTCCCTAACCACAGGGGAACTTGCTTCCTTGACTCTCATGTTCACTGTTTATTTTGCTTTTGTCTGAGAACTTCAAGGCAGCGACTGGAGTATTTTCCTCCTTTGCTTCTTGCCCTGTGGTCTCTATCTGTTTGTTTGTGGGGATGCTGACAGTGTTTAAAGGACTAGGCTGGCAGAAGGAAAGCTGCTTATTTCCCTCAGCGCTCAGGTCCTCTGCTGCCCTCTGATGCAATACCCTTTCGGAAGGCTGTGCCCTGACTTGGGGGCAACACTGGGCTGGAAGAGAGCTGCAGCTCTCTGTCTGGGGATGGAGAGGGTTGTGTGCTCCCGTCTGAGGCTGTTCTGGCTGGGCTTGTGGCTTTTTCTGAATGTTCTGTTCCTGGGGCCAAAATGGGTCTCCTCTTCCAGATCGGGTGATGCCAGAAGAGACGCCAAGCCTGGGCTGTGGCTGAGCTGTCGAGCCTAGCAGGTTCCCCCATCCCCCAGGCTGCCTCTCCCGTAACCCCCAGGGTCAGAGGTGTGCCCCGAGCCCCTGGACCCCGCTGCCCCAGCATTACTACAGGCCACCTCCTCCTCCTCCTGACTCTTTCTCTCTTTTCTTCGGGCAGGAAAAAGCTGACGCTGCTGAGGGAGATGCTGGCAGGCTGCGGTGCGGGTACCTGCCAGGTGATTGTCACCACTCCCATGGAGATGCTCAAAATCCAGCTGCAGGACGCGGGGCGAATTGGTACGTGGGCTTCCATTCCTCGTGGACTAAGCAGCCGGGGGGAAGAGGGCTGGGGCCAGGCTGTCAAGGCAGAGAGGGAGGGAATGAGCAGAGAAAACCCTTTTCCTTCCCCCTGCTCTCCCAAGTCAGAGGTATCTCAGCCTGTAGCATAAGTTTCTCCTCCCCTTCTCAGCTCGTTTCCCCCCACACTTTGCTTACCTGGCTTTGCAGAGGCCCTTGCAGTTACTAAAGGTAATGATTTTTTTTTTTTTTTTTTTTTTTGCTCAAAGCAATAGCAAGCAAAACAGCAGATGCTGCTGATGGGTGGAGAGAGACAGATGACTGAGTGGTCAGCTTGTGAGTGATTAAACCTCACTAGTTACAGTGCACCCAGGAAAGGATTAGCATCCCCCAGTGCTCTTCCTGTGGTGCTTCCTCCATTTCCACATTTTCTGATGTCTGTTCTCTCTCTTCTACACCCCTGTAGCACCTCCCTAACAGCTTCCCATTGGGATGTGTCCTTTCCAAATGACTTGTCTCCCCTCTGACTTTCTCTACTTTTTTCTCCTGCCAAAAGCAGCAGTTGTCTCCGCTGAGACAGTAAATAAAATTTTCCCAGCACACTGGATTTGGAAGGAGTTTGGGATCAGGCTCTGAGGGCTGTGGGCAGGAGCTGGCGGGCAGAGGCAGGAGGGAGTGTGAGCATTTTGGCTGAAACACTGTGAGGCGTTCCTGGTGAGAAGGGAGACCAGAGTCTGGTGTGGAGACTCTGGGGCAAAGAGCTGTTTGCTATCGCCTCAATCTCTTCCAGAGGTCAGCGTGGGGTATGGCCTCATTCCCCAGGAGCCCTGCATGGCATGGTTTGTGGTCCTTCCTGGAAAATGGGCCAATTTGTCCTTTAATGTGTCATTTGATATGGCATTCCTGAATAATCACGTATTTACTTTTTTTTTCCTGTATTCGCTGTTTTTAATGCAGACCTTATCCTCTTTGTGTGTATTATTTTAAAATGCTTGAAGGAATTAAGCCATAGTTTGAGAGTTCAGAAGAGGTTTTTGCTGTTGTGAGCAGCCTGTTCTCTGTGTGGCAAGAGACTTCTGGTGTGCCGGTGGCAGCCAGAGGATTGCCTGTGGGTTGATGTGCTCTCCATCTTCTGGCCAAAGAGCAGAAATGCGTCAGCTTGGAGAGGCTGGGAGAAGCCCGGTTGTGTTTACAGATGTGGCTGAGGAGCTCAGCAGGTTAATGATTGCTTTCAAGGGAAGGAAGCAAAAACCAGAACTGCTGAACCTCTCTCGTTTATGAGTATTTTTAGTTTATCCTAACAGGGGCTCGGGGATGTAGCTGGAAGCAGCTACTGTCAGCTCTCTGCTCACGGCAGCTCCTTTCCTCCGCACCGTGGAGGTTTTATGTGACAGGCTGCTCCTGCTTAGGTAAAAACCCAGCGTGGTGGTGTGGCAGCAGCCAGCTCCGAGACTGGGACAAGCTGGGTTGTCTCAGGCTGTGGGAGACGTCACACTGGGAGCAAAACCTTGCGGGGCAGCTGGCTGGCCTCAGGCTGCATGTTTTGGTGCACCTGGAGTTCTGCCTCTTCCTCCTTGTCCTGTGGCCCTGGACAGCAAGAGACTGCTGTTGAGCATCTTGCAGACCAGTGCTCTCTCCGCTCCTCACCAGCGGCGCAGAAGAAGCTGATGGCAGCGCAGGCCCAGCTCTCCTCTTCCTCGGCGGCGGGGGCAGCAGAGCCGGCGGTGGAGAGGCGCACCACAGCAACACAGATAACAAGGGAACTGCTGCGGAGCAAAGGCATCGCGGGGCTCTACAAGGGCCTGGGAGCCACACTGCTAAGGTAGGATGGCGTGAGTTTGAGAGCAGGGCCCCAGTGTTCCCAGTCTCGAACCTAAAGCAGCAGCCATCCAGGGGACGAGCCTGCGAAGCGGGTGTTGGCCTCAGGGGGGGCGGGTTTGATTTGTGTTGATTTTCATGCACAGGTTTTGCACATTAAAGAACGTAAGGTCATGGAAGTGAGGGAGGCTGCCTTTTTGTTCCGGGCAGATTTAATTTTGCTGCTTTCTGCGGAAGGTTTTTGCCTCCCCCGTGGTCCAGGTTTTAATACCGTAGAGAAGTCCTTGCGAGCTAGCAAAGCAAAACTGTCAAGCCTGAGTCTCCAAAGTGTGAAACGGGTCCTGGCCCGTGGAGCACGCTGGATGTACGGACTGCTGCCTGCTCTGACACCCTTCACTGGGGCTTCCACAGAGTGACTCTCCTCTAGCTCTAACAACGGTGGAGCTAAAGCAACGCCCAGGAGGGTGGGGAGCAGGATGCCAACCTCTCCTCGTTAACAAAAGCGGATAAAATGGATTGATCTCTGAGTGTGGTGGGGTCTTCGGTTTGAGTGTTGAAAAATCAGGGGGAGGCCACTGTCTCCGCAGGGCTGCATGTCTCCCGTGGGCCTGTTGGCCTTTGTGGGGTCAGTTTTGCCCCTGCCGTGTCGGCCTCTGCCTGCGGTGCCGTTGCGGAGTTGGGACGTCCTGCGTTGCGCTCCCAGCAGCGCCGCCGACACGGGATGCCCGCAGGCCTTCCTTTGCTGCTCAGTTTGTCGGTGTCCCGCTCAGGCTTCGCTCATCCTTGTTCTTTCTTCCCCTTCCTCCCTCCCCACCGCAGGGATGTCCCCTTCTCCATCGTTTACTTCCCGCTGTTTGCAAACCTGAACAAGCTGGGCCAGAAGGACCCCAATGTCAAGGCTCCGTTCTACGTGTCCTTCCTCTCCGGGTGTGTGGCTGGCAGTACGGCCGCGGTGGCTGTCAACCCTTGCGATGGTGAGTCCCGAGTAACCTGTGCTGGTGGCCTGGTGCCCTGTGACAGGAGTCAGAGGCCCACCAGTGGGCTGGGTGAGGAGGAGGAGCGTGACTGTGCCGGCCTCTTCGCAGCATGAGCGCACAGGAAGGTGGAGGAGGGGAGCTCTGCTGTCTGAGTTGCCTCCAACTCAGTTGGTGCTTCCTACAGCTGAGGCTGTACCTTTGGCCACAGCTTACACAGAGGTTTGCAGTACTCGCTAGGTAAGGCAGGAAGAGGATGTCATTCATTTCACTCTCTACAGGAAGGCCTGCGAACGTGCCCCTGCAAAGGCACGTTTCCACGTGGAGTGGTAGTTCATTACATGCACATGGTCATGGACAGCCAGGGGGAGCCGCAGATCTGTGGCCTTTTTTCCTGCTCCGCAGTATCTGCCTTAAATACCACCTTGGTTCCTCTGCTGTGAAAAACACCGGAAAGTGTCTCCTCTCTGCCTAACATTGCACGCTCTCCAAGGTGTGAAGGAATGTATGAGCAGCATCGTGTATTTTAGATACTTCTTCCAGAAGGCGCTGAGTATTTGAAAATCTCTTCCCACTTTGCAGAAAGATACCTGAATTTGGAAGAGTTTAAAGCTTGAGTTGGCCTCAGAAACCTTGGTCACAGTGAGGGGACGGGGCTGGGTTTTGGGTGGCTGTGTTTTTCTTTTATCCACTTGTAAAGGAATGGGTTTGTTTTCCCCTGTTTTGCTGATAAATATACGACAGTGATCTCCGTTCTTGTTTCAAAGACCTTATTCTCGGTGTGGGTCTCACCTGCTGAGGAGCGTGCTGGACTCCCAGTCCTCACCACCCTCTCTCTTCGTTTTTCTCCCCAGTGATCAAAACGCGGCTGCAGTCCTTGCAGAGAGGAGTGAACGAGGACACCTACTCAGGAATCCTGGACTGTGCCAAGTAAGACCCCTCGAAGCAGACCACCACATCAGGTGTCCAGCAGTGCCAGGCAGGCAGTGCAGCTTTCAGGCCAACCAGCAGCTTCTCTGTTTCGGGTTCCCTCTGACCCTGAGCTTTTATCTATATATGGATAGATATATGACCAGATATATACTGTTCATATATATAGGTATATAAAAGAGAACTTTGTCCTATTTTGAGCAAGGTAAATACAGCATTTATATTTAAATGCTTGTGTCCAAAGCCCAACAGTCGTAACACTGAGTTTTTATTTCTGCAGAGGGAGGTAAGTGCTGTGGTTGTCCCTCCCAAGGCCCTGTTGTCTGACAACCCTACAGCATGAAGTCTTGTATCCCTCACAGGACCTCTGTGAACAGCAGTTGCAGGAACACTGAGTGGGCTGTCACACCAGCCACGCTCTCCTCCTGACCCTTTGCTAAACTGTGGTCTGGCTGTTTCAAAAAAAAAAAAAAAAAAACAAAAAACAAAAAACAAGCGCTCTGCTTCTGGACTGCTGTTGTATCCAGAGTCTCTTGCCGGCAGGCCGTCCCCCGTCCCGAGGGTGGAGTTGGCCCCAGATTTTGAACAGGGGGACCTCTTGATGCAAACACGGGGCAGACAGCCCTGCCTCTGGCCAGACGTAGGGACGGGGCATGTTCCTGCACAGCCGTTGGCAGAGCCCGTGGGGGACTGTGGAGGCAGCGCCAGGCGACAGCGCTTGCCTGGGCTTAGTCTCTAGAGGGAGGCAGAAATCCAGGGCATGGCCAGGGGCTCTCCCGGCGTGGTGGAGGGGTGGGATGGACACTTACCTGTCTGTGCCGTCTCTTCCCAGGAAGATCTGGCAGAAGGAAGGGCCCATGGCCTTCCTGAAAGGGGCATACTGCCGAGCCCTGGTCATTGCTCCTCTCTTCGGCATCGCACAAGTCGTCTACTTCATCGGCATCGCGGAGTTCCTGCTGGACATGCTCCCCAAGCACCGGGCCTAGCCATGTGCCCTCCTGCCCTCTGCAGCGCCGAATTCATCCCCATGTTTGTCGTCGGTGTCGATTGATGTCAGAGCAACAGCACAAAAGGGTTCGCGCAGGGACGCTGAGGGGACGTGGTCTCCAGACGAGCAAACTGGAGGGAGGGAGCGTCCCTTTTCTGTCTCACTCTGGAACCTGCCACCCCTTCCCGCTCTTTCCACGGACAGTACCTAATTATTCATCTCTCTCATTCTTTCCCCTTCCCCTCCCCTTTCTTCTTTTTTTTCTTTTTTTTTTTTTTTTTTTTTTTTTTAATTGCCATTCTTAAGGACACTGGTAAGCACAGACTGGGCTTGCAGACCCAGGAGTCTCTTCCTAGCCTTGGGAAGGAAGAGGGATGGGAAAGAAATAACCTGGACCCTCGTCCACCCCAGTCCCCCTCTTTCTTCCTGGAGTTGCCAGCTACCTGAGGAGGAGCTGGAGGGGCAGCTGTGTCCCCCTCAGCCCCTCCTTGGCTCTGCTGGCCCCAGGTCAAGAGCGGGCACCGCGCAAAGGGGGCTCATTGCATCGCTACCAGAGGCGTGGCGGGGGGGATGCTGGATCTGGCAAGTTCCTTGGCCTGGAAACCTTCACCCCTCCCTCCAACTCGTTTTTGAGAAAGGGAGGACTTAGATGAACTTCTTGGAGATCAGAGGAAGGGAAAGGAGATCGTTGCTATCGATTTTTTTTTTTTTTTTAATTATTTTTCTTTTAAAGCAAAGGGATATCCCTCCTAACTAGGGGTCACAGGCGCATCTGGGTGAGGTGAAGAGATGAGATGTCTGCTCTGTAGGGAACATGTCTGTGGGATCACACAAATGTCCGAAGGTGCTTCACTGCTTGGCTACAGGCAGGGGAGGGAGAGAAACTTGGGATCAAGTTATTTTTGTTCGGGTTTTTTTGTTTGTTTGTTTTTTAATGCAGGGGTTGTGGGGAGGGAAAACCAAGCAACAAGAAACCACTTACATTCCTTCAGCCTCCCCACCCCTGGGGTGATAAAGTGGTGGCTGCAGGTGCAGATGAGCTGGTTGGTTTTTTTTTTCCAGCCTGGCCCCTGGTGCATGAGGGGAGGTGCCTGTTCTGCTTCCGCGCTGCCCGACCTCGGCCAGCCGCGCTGGAAACGCCACGCCTGTGTGCTCACCTTGCCGAGAGGGAACACAAGGTCTGGGGGTGTTTTGGTGTTTAACTTGGGCGTGCTCGGAGGCAGAGGGTCCCCACACCCTGAGCGAGGAGCTGTTGGCGTGGACATGGTTACAGGGTCGAGTCCTCTTGATCCCAAAAACTTGTCATCCTGCTTGCTCTTGGGGTGGTGATCGCTGCTGGGTGTCAGGAGGCAAATCCACACCTACAGCCTGCTCTGGCAAAGGGACACCGCCCCACCTACCGTCACTTGTCAGAGGACTTCCTCGTTCAGTACTCTCTTGGGCTGTGTAATTAATTCTAGTTTAAATGATCGTGAGATCTACCAACCCAGCATGATCGTCATTATTTATTCCATTCCGTGCAATCCACCCGGCTTTCGTGTTTAAATTAAACTGGTCGAATTCACTTTTCATTCCTTCTTTTTGCTTTTTTCTCCAGGCACTTGCTTGGTGTTTGTGTTTCAAGTGTATATTTAAATTAATTTAAAAAAAAAAAAAATCCCTATTTTTAATGTTTAAAAGAAAACCACCTCTGTTTCAATGTTCCTGGGTTAGGTTTTTGCAAAACCTGTGTGGTGAAGGCCTTCCTTCATGCGTCCTTTTTCTCTTTGGAAAAGTAATTCTATGGCTGATTTGTTACTTGTCACTTTGGATATGTGAATATTTTTTTTTTCTCTTTTTTTTTCTTAATGACTTCTTTGTGTATCTGGGAAGGAATCTGTGCAAAGGTGATGATAGATGTCTGTGCTGTGTGTAGTGCTGTGATGCTGCTCTTGCTCTGGATTTCCCTTGGGTGGATTAAAAGAGAAAGATTCTTTTTTTTTTTTTTTTTTAAAGTGCCCCATTCCTTGCTGCTTTGTGATTTACAGTGGGGGTCTCCAAAAGAAACCTTGCTGATAAAAGTAGTGGCATTTCTGCTTGCTCTTCTGCCTGCAGGGGTTGTCTCCCGAAGCTGGGTGACATGTGGCTGGCAGGAGGGCTGTGGGGTGAAGGTTTGTATCGTGGGGTCATGTTTGGAGGAAAATTTGGTGCAGCGAAGCTTCAGGGAGAGCTCTCCTTGTCCTTTGGGATGCTTTTAAAAACCTCTTTGTAAAACTGACTCTTCTCCCTGAAATCTCCAGCTCTTCTGCCACCGCGTTGGAGCTGGCGAGCTGAACAGGGCTTGGAGATGTCCCCGAGTGAGGAGGACGCAGGGAGGTGGCAGGGCATAGTGACCGTGGCCCCCCGGGCAAACAGGGAGCCGCTGGCCGAAGAAGTAAGAGTTTAAAATGGGAGAACTCCTGTCCACTTAATTAATCACCGGTTAACCGAAACCTCTAAGCGTTGATTGCAGTATTGAGGAGCAAAAGTAAACAAACACTCGGAGAAACCTTTGCTTCCCTCCCTGCAGATGCCACGTGTCCCCAGGGCAGGGGACAACAGCCACCGTGGGATCAACTCCTTGTCCTTGTCCTCCCTGGTCCCTCCGGCGGTGGAGGTGCTGGACAGAGCGTCCAGCACGTCATGGGTTCAGGGGAGTGGGGAGGTTTTGGCTGGTGAAATTTCCTGGAACGAAAAGAGGAAATTTCCTAAAGCCCTGGTGGAAAATTCCTACAAAGCAAAAAGGAAATCTTCTGGAAACCAATAGAGGAGTCCGTGGAAAGCTACAGTAAAAAATGGGGAATTTTTCCTGCAAGACAATACAGGAGTTGCCTTGAGAGCACTGGGTGGAATTCCTCAAAAGCAAAGGAGGAAACGTTCTGGAAACTTGTAGAAGGCAAGGGTGGAACTTTCTAGAAGGCCATAGGGCTATAGTCTAGAAATCAAAGGAAGAAAAATGCTAGAAAGCAGGGAGGAAATTTCTTCAAGAACCAGGGAAATTCCTGAAAAGCAAAAGTGACCTTTCTTAAGTAGCAGTGATACTTCCTAAATGGGAAATTTCCCAGAAAGCAATGGAGGAATTGCTGGAAATCAAAAGGGAAATTTCCTGGGCAGGAAGAATGAGATTTCTTGGGAAATAATTTCTTGCTTCCTGGGGTGCAACAGTCATGGAGAAATTTCCTGGAAAGCAATAGAAGTCCTCTAAGCAGAGAGAACATTCCTAGAAAGCAATGGAGGACTCCAGAAAGCAACAATAAACATTCCCAAGAAGCAAGGGGGGAATTTCCTGGAAAGCAATGGGAAGGAAATATCCTGCAAAGTGCCTTTCCTGGATGGAAAGGAGGGAAGGGGGAAATTTCCTGGAGAGCAAGGGGCAAGGTCCTGGGAAACCATGCAGGAGTTCCTGGTAAGCAGTAGGGAGAAGTTCCTGGAAAGAAGGGGAAATTTCCTTGAAAGCAGGAAGCGTGGGGGAAAGAGGCCACCAGCCCCTGCTTCAGCCCCCCTGAGCACCACTCTAGGTAAGAAATTTGTAAAACTCCTGCGGATCTGGGGGCTTTTGGGTTTGTTTTACCACTGCCCCCCGAGCTCGGAGGGAAGAGCACCGAGGGCAAGTGCTTGGGCCGCACGTGCCCCGCTTCCTGCTCTGGTTATCCGCTGCTTTTTCCTCAAATTTCACGCAAAACCCTCCGTAACCTGCACCGCCCTGCGCTGAGCCGCGCGGCGTGCACCCACCCCCCCCACACCCCACACCCCCCCCGCTATTTTCTGCCGCGGCCAGCTGCACCCAGGACCTGCGTTGCCAGAAACCAGCTGTAGCCCCAGCTGGGCCCCCCCTTCCCCTTTCTGGGGTGGTGGGGGGACGCGTGGCCGTGGGGACCCCGCTCCCCCCCCCCCCCCCGGTGCTTTGGGGCCTGGCAGGGCCCGCCCCAGGCTTCAGCCCTTGGCCAGGCCGGAGCCGGCCCCGAAACCCACACCTGGGGCTGGTGCATGACCCTAGCCTTGATTTTTCCTCCTTTTTTTTCCTCCTTTTTTTTTCTTTTCTTTTTTTTCATTCAACCCCCAAAGCTGGGAGCAGGGCCCGGGGAGCGCCCCGGATTTATGGGAAAAGGGAGCACCAGGAAAACCAGCTCCCGGAGGCCGGGAGCGTGGCCAGCACCCCCTGCCCTTCTGGGTCTGCTTTTATTTTTTTTTTTTTTTTTTTTTTATAGCGTGCCTTTAGTGCAGGGAAACCAAGGCAGCCTGAAAGAAGAAGGATTAAAATAAATATGACAAATAGAAAAGGGTTATGGGAGTTTCCAGCCCTGAAGGCCTGGCCTGGGTTGCCGGTGTTTCCTGGTGCAGCTGCTTTCGGGCCAGGCCTGAGAGTTTCGGGGTGTCCCCGCCGCCCTCCCCCCCCCTGCAGGGGTCGGTTTCGGGGTGCAGCTCTCCCACACCAGCGCTGGGGGCCACAACAGCCCCCGGGGAGCAGCTCCAGCGGGGGGTCACAAGCCTTCCACATCCCCCCCCCCCCCCAAACTGATCCTGCCCCTTGCCCACCAAGGTCTGTCCCGCGCTGGTGTGAGGCAAGGTTTAAATTTGGATTTATTTTTTATTTTTTTAATTAGTGTTATTGGGGGGGGGGGGGGGGGGGGGGTGCGTAGGGCTCCGCAGGCACCAGCCCAGCCCCCGGGGGCCGGATCGCGCTGATCCCCCGGGGCGCATCGCTGGGGGGGGTGTGGGTGGGGGGTGTGGGTGTCCCCGCACGGGGTGTGTGTATGTGGGGGGGGGTGGCCACTGGCGACACTTTCACTTTCGGCAGGGTCACGTGGTTTCCAGGAACCCGGCGGGGGGCGGATAAAAGGGCCGGGCGGGGGATGGCCGAGCTCCCCCCCCCCGGCCCCAGCACCGGGCACCCCGCGGCATCATGGCAGAGCTGCAGAACGAAGGGTAAGCGGCCCCCCAGCACCCCGCGCCGCCCTCCGCGGGTGGCCCCCGGTGTCCCGTCCCGTTCTCCCCCCACCTCCGTGACCGCCCCACGCCCGCAGGGACGCGCAGAAGCTGCGGTTCGGGCCCTGGCTGGTGAGCGCCGTCAGCAGCGGGAGCTACCGGGGGCTGTGCTGGACCGACCCGGCCCGCAGCGCCTTCCGCGTCCCCTGGAAGCACAACGCTAGGAAGGATGTCACCAGCAGCGACCTGGAGGTCTTCAAGGTGGGTGGGATGGAGGGGGATGGAGGGGGAGGTCACCAGCAGCGACCTGGAGGTCTTCAAGGTGGGTGGGATGGAGGGGGATGGAGGGGGAGGTCACCAGCGGCGACCTGGAGGTCTTCAGGGTGGGTGGGATGGAGGGGGAGGTCACCAGCAGCGACCTGGAGGTCTTCAGGGTGGGTGGGATGGAGGGGGAGGTCACCAGCGGCGACCTGGAGGTCTTCAGGGTGGGTGGGATGGAGGGGGAGGTCACCAGCAGCGACCTGGAGGTCTTCAGGGTGGGTGGGATGGAGGGGGAGGTCACCAGCGGCGACCTGGAGGTCTTCAGGGTGGGTGGGATGGAGGGGGAGGTCACCAGCAGCGACCTGGAGGTCTTCGAGGTGGGTGGGATGGGGTGTCACCGGCAGCAAGTTGAGGTCATCAAGGTGGGTGGGATAGGGTTGACCAGCAGCGACCTCAAGGTCTTCAAGCTGGGTGGGATGCGGGAACTGGGCGAGGTGGGGAGGGAGACACGACGGACACAGACAAAGCAGGATGGGACAGGACAATGGACGATGACCCGGAATCCCTGCAACCTCCGTGCTGGTGGAGCCAGGGTCCCCACCCTCACCCCCCCGCCCCTCCCAGGCCTGGGCGAAGGCGAGCGGGCGGTACGAGGCATGTCCCGAGGACCCGGCCAAGTGGAAGACCAACTTTCGCTGTGCCTTGAGGAGCACCCGCATGTTCGTGCTGCTGGAAGACCGCTCCAAGTGTGGGGACGACCCCCACAAGGTCTTCGCCATCGCTCCAGGTGAGCCTGGCCCCATCCATGGGGGGTGGGGGGGGTCTGTGTTGGGGCACGGGGAGGGGGGCGCAGGTGATCTCAGGGTGCCCCACTCACCCCGCTCCTTCCAGCCGCCCTCTGGCACGGCGAGGAGGGAGATTTCAGCAGCCCTGACCCTCTGGTAGACCAGCAGCCGCTGCACCAGCAGCCCCAGGTAATGGGGTGGGCTGGGCGGGGTGGGGTCCCCCCACTGCCACTGCTCAGGCACTGCACCCCCACATCCTTGGGGTACCCCTAACCCTAACCCTGCACCTGGCTGAAACGTGGGGCAGGGGGAGGCTGGGTGTCCCCCATCCACAGCGGTAACACCCCATCCCTCTTCTCTTTGCAGCTGGCGCTCAACCCCCAAGATGTGGCCTCAGAAATCGCTCCCCCAGGTAGGGGCTGGTCCCCCAATTTTTTTAGGAGGCGGGGGGGTGGTGGTGACAACAAACGCCACCCTGATAGGCTGAGCTGGGGCTGGTTTTGGGGTTGTGAGACCTCCCAGCCAGTGTGCCCACCCCACCCCCCCGCCCCCAGGCAGCACCAGCCCCCCCGACCCCCCGCTGCTGGAGGAGCTGCAGTGGGTGCTGCAGCACTGCGACATCTCCGCCCGCGACCTTGGCCCCTCGGACCCATCCTGGGCACCTGCAGGTGAGACCGGCCCCACTCACGGGGTGCGGGGTGGGTGACACCACGGGTAGGTGACCCCCAGCCCCTCCCCACCGGCGATTTCTCCGCAGGGGACGCCCCCCACCAGGACACCTTGCTCCAGCCTCACCCAGACCCCAGCCAAAACGACTGCCTCCCCGCGCCGGCGTTTCAGCGATGGGTGCCTGCTGTGGAGCAGCCCCCCTTGGGTGCCTACAGCCCCCTGGCCCCCATGCTGCTGGAGGAGCGAGGTGGGTGCTGTGGGGCAGGACCCGCCCCCCCCCCCGGGGCGTGGGAACACCCCGAACGGGGTGGGGAAGAGGCCGGGACGCTGCTGCCCGCACCCCACGCCAAATCCCCCCCTCCCCGTGCCGCTGCGCCCCGCCTCGCCGTGCCGACGCTGCCCGCTCCCCGCTGCAGGGGCCGTGCCGCCGCCGTGCCCCGCGCCGGGGGTCACGGGCCCCCTGGCCCCCCCGGGGGATGCGATGCTCTTCGCCCCCGCCGCCAGCCCTGTGCCACCGCTGCCAGAGGAGAGCACAGGTGAGGGTTATTATTTACCACTAGGTACAAACAGCTAGTAATAACGCAGGCGTAGGTAGAATTATTAATAATGCTTGGGGAGGGGGGTGTGTGGGGTGTGTTTTGGGGAGCGGGAGCACTGGGGCTTGCGGGACGCTGATCGCTGCCCGGTGCAGATGGCATCATCCCCATCCTGGATGTCAGCATCTACTACCGGGGGAAGCTCTTCCACCAGGAGGAGGTGGGGGGCAGCCAGTGCCTGCTGGCGTACCAGCCCTCCGACCCGGCGGTGGCCCTGCGCCCCGGGCGCCTGGTGCGCTTCCCCAGCCCCGCCGAGGTGGCCGACAGCAAGCAGCGGCGCTTCACCGAGGAGCTGCTGTGTGGCGCGGGGCTGCAGCTGGAGCAGCGCGCCCGCAAGCTCTTCGCCACCCGCCTGAAGAAGTGCAGGGTCTTCTGGGCCCTGTCCCAGCAGCTCGAGGACGCTGGGGACCCCCCCCCCAACCTGCTCTGCCGGGACCAGGAAACCCCCATCTTTGACTTCAACGAGTTTTGCACAGGTGGGCAGGGGGTGGCCTAGTTGTTGGGGCTTGTGGGCACCAGCGCCAGGATGTCACGAGCATCCGAACCCCCCCCCCAGCCCCTCCGTGTCCCCCCAGGCTCAGCCCAAAACTGAGCCCTCTCTCCTCTCGCAGAGCTGAGGGACTTCCGCAACCGCCAAAGGCAGCGCTCCCCTGACTTCACCATCTACCTCTGCTTCGGGCAGTCCTTCTCCAAGGCCAAGCCCAAGGAGTCCAAGCTCATCCTGGTCAAGGTGCAGGGCCCAACACCCACCCCTGCCCCACTGCTGCCCAGGGAGGGGGAGATGGGGGTCTGGGTGGCCGAGGCAGGGGACCCTTGGGGTCTCAGGGAGGTGGGCGTCTGGATGCTCAGGGAGGGGGACTCCTGGGCTCCCGAGGAGATGGGGGGTGTTTCAGGGTCCAGGGAGGGAGATCCTTGGGGTCCAGGGGAGATGGTGGTTCCTCAGGGTCCAGGGAGGGGGGGACCCTCAAGGGTCAGGGAAGATGAGTGTCTGGATGCCTGAGACGGGAGACCCTCAGGGTCCAGGGCAGATGGGGCTTTGAGTGCCCAAGGAGGGGATACCCTGGGGGCTGGGAGAGATGGGGAAACTGGGGGCGGGGGGGAAGAGGTACACTTGGAGACCAGGGGCGATGGAGGGGGCTGGGTGCCCAAGGAGCAGGACATCTGGGGGCTTGGGGACAGGGAGGGGTGGAATTGGGTGCCCAGGGACGGTAACCCTTGGAGAGCAGGGACAATATGGAGGGGGCCAGGAGTCCAGGGAGGGCCACCCCCTAAACAAGGGGCAGCTGCCTGGGCCGTGGGACCCTTGGGGGCTGGGCAGGATGGGGTGGGAGGCAGCTGCCCAGGGCTGGGGACCCTTAGGGGCTGGTGGCCCTGTGCCCCTTTTTCCTCTGCTCCAGGAGGATGGGGCCGTGCAGGGAGTTGTGGCCACATCAGGGAGCTACCCCTGCCCCTAACCCTGCCCCTGCCCCTAACCCTGCCGGTTTGCTGCCACAGCTGGTGCCCAAGTTCTGCGAGTACTGGTACAATCAGGTGCTGCGGGAGGGAGCCTCCTCCCTCGACAGCAGCACCGTCAGCCTGCAGCTCTCCGACTCCTTCAGCCTCTTCGAGCTCATCGAGCAGTGGAACATGCAGATAGACTGAGCCCCCCCCCAGCTCCCCGTGGCCCCCGGGGACAGGCACCAGCCCGCGGGGTCCAGTGGGCATCGGGGGCTGTGCAAACCAGCATCCTCCCAGGAACTCCACGAGGGGATACCTATGGTGGGGTCCTTTCCTCCTCTGCTCCCCCAACCCCAAGAAGTTTCACTGGCCGGTCCTGGAGCTGGCATGTTGCTTTTCCCCTCCATCAGCTGCTAACGTGTTTTCGTGGAGCCTGGTCATTTACAGATTTATTTTCTTAAGTTTTCTAAGTTTAAATATACGCATATAGAAAGGCGCTTCCTGCTTGCTGATGTTGCCTGGACGTCTGCCCCCACCCTCAGTCCGAGACCTTTCCCCCCCCACTCCCAGAACCATGGGGGGCCCTGGCCAGCCTTGTCCCAGCGAAGCCCTCGCTGGCAGCAGGCTCATACGGGCGCGTTTATCAGCACCTTCCCCCCCCCCCCCTTACAGCTGTGAACATGAGGTGACCACCCACAAGCGAAGGGACAGCATTTATTGATGCATTTAGTTCTAGGCGCTAAGGCTGCAAACATGACTTGCAAGCAAAGCGTGCCGAAGACATCAGGGCTTTAGCTAAACAAAAATAATTCTTCTTTCTTCAAGTGGCGAGCGCCTCCCCGCTGGCCCAGAGTTACTCACTTGAGATGTTCTGGGAAAAATAAGGCAGTAGCTACAACACGGAGCGCGCGGAGCCGAGCTCTGCGGCGCAGTGGTGGCCTCTCGGAGAGCAGCGTGGTAACCGGAGTGCTGCCCGGAGGTGGGGTGTCCCCTCCCTGGGCTGGGAGCAGCTGCACCACCACCACCACCACCACCCCACCCCCCCCCCCCCCCCCCATTTCAGGAGTGAGGGGAGAAGAGCCTGGCCCCCGGCGCTGGACCCTGGCCCGGGGGAGGTGACAGCCTCCTTACCTGCCGGTTGACATGGATGGTGCTGTGCCCGAAGGTGGTGGTCCCGTAGCTTGTCACGTAATAGTGAGCAGGGGGCTGTGCTGGGGGCTCCTCCAGCTGCCTGGGCACTGGGGGGGGTGGGGGGGGGACACCATCAGCACCTCGAAACCCTCGGCCCTCCTCCCTCCTGAGTGCTGTTGCGGCGCAAACCCGAGACTGTCGGGCTCACCTTTGGGCAGGAGCAGCTCTGCACCAAAGCGGTGCCCGCACGTCCCACAGGTTTTAACGTCCTCCTTCGTCCTGTGGAGGAAAAAGCCCTAAGAAGGAGGAGCGGGAGCTGCCCTTGGCACTTCCCATGGAAGACGACGCCAAGGCGATGGAAAAGGCTCCTTCTTTCTACCCTGACCCGAGCTCCTGCCATCGCTGGGACGGCTGCTGCTCTCCCAGGTGCCCGAGCACCTTCAGCTCTTCACGAAACAGGAGCCATGTGGGCACCTGGCCAGAGTGGACACGATGTGCCAGAGCCCCACAAGTCTCAACTTTTTCACCTACCTTTCCGTGCCCGAATTTCCCACCCAGGTGAACGCTAACACTGCGCGGGACCCGGGCTGCTGCGGTCAGGAGATGGGCAATGTAGCGCCTGGGGAGATTCCCAACGAATTTCACCTGGCTTTTAGAAGCCGACCGGCTCCACCAGCCTTTCGGGAGCGCCCCCCCGGCTGCAGCCACTGGCTCGGAGGGGCGCAGGGTGTACGTACGCCGTGTTTGTGCCGTCCATGTCTGGCCAGATGAGCTCCGCGGGACAGCCGGCTGTTCGGCAGGGGGTCTTCACGCACACGTGCAGCCCCGGCCACTTCTCGGCGAGCTTCTGGACGATGAACACAACCGCCATGAGGAAGTCCCAGGCGAACTGGAAACCTTCCAGGCAAAAGGAGAATGCCTGGCTTACTCACGGCCACCCAAGGGCAGCGGTCCAGGAGAGGCTGTGGTGGCGCACGCGGCGCTGCCAGCCCGCCAGACCACAGCCAGAACGGTCGGACCGGCTCCGTTTCTCAAGTTAACCAAGGCCCATCAGCCTCCAAAGGGCATTTAAAGATATGTTGGGAGAGCTCCCCAACTCGGATGGCCCTTCTGCTTATCACTTGGAGACCCAGTCTGAGACTGGACTCTGCTGGGACCTTATGGGGAAGGATTTGCGCCATGAGAAGACTGAAAACTTGACTTTCCACTTTCATGTAATACCTTGAGAGGACTCCTGACCAGGTTGCATGGAGAAAGGGGAAATCTTTGATTGAACTGCTGGTAGACCCTGGCCAGACTAGGACATGTGGCAGAGGCTCCTGGGACACTCTGCCCAGAGGGGTGGAGGTGGCAGGGGAGAGCTATGAAGAAGACATGTGGTTGGGAGACATGAAATAAGGACCAGGGATCCTTACCTGTCCTTCCTGCCGGCTTTCTGCACCGAAGCTCCAGGTAGCTGTAGGCCCTCTGGTTATTCTCTTTTATCAGCAGAGGTTTGCCATTGCTTATGAGCAGGCAGGTTGCCTTGGCCACCCAGTGCGCGGAGTAGAAGGAGCAAGCTTTCACCAGGAACCTGCAAGGAGATGGCCCACAGCTTTCACCACCCTCCACCCTGCTTATCTCTAGCACCGGGAGAAGGCATGGCACCAGGAGGACTTGAAAAATATGAACCTAATTTCAGTAGAAACAGGGACAGACACCCGGTGAGGACCCTGCCCTACCGAAAGCTCAAGCAGCAGGAGCAGCCTCTTAAGCCAAGAGCTGCTTCCAGAGTTGTCCATCGGATAAAACTCTGGCCACAAGTCAGTAACCCCACAAGGACAGGAGACCTTTTAGAAACTGGAACAGTCCCAGCGCTCTGAGAAACTGGACCATCCTCGGGGTGGGGGGACTGGGAGACCTCTGACTGCCTGGATGGGCACAGACTAGCCAAAACCCACCCCGGATAAAAGCTGAACCACGTGTGGTCCTTGCTCACATCCAGGCGGCGAGCGTTGAAGTGGTTCACCCAGGGCCCCCGAGTCGGTGGCAGAGCAGAGAAGCCACCCTGCTCTCCCAAGTCCTGGCTTCATGCCTCAGCCGATGCAGACTCAACAGCTGAGAGCTTGCTGACGGTCACACTGGTGCTACGCCGAGCAAATCCTGAACCGCGCAACCTCATCGAGGGCTGGAAGCCACCGCTTACCTCTGGAAGAAACCCTCAGGTATTTCGGGTGAGAAGTAGGCACGGATGTGGAGGTCCTCAGGGTGATCCCCTCCCCACACCTCGGAGACCTCTTCGGTCTGGTTCAGATAGGTTGGGAACAAGTACCAGGTCTCGCCTTGGCCCCGCGTTGTCTCCCACGGCTTCCCAGGCACAAACTCACTGGCCTGGGGGTTGAGTGCTTCGGTGTGTCTCACCTCCAGACAGAGCTCAAAGTGCTCCAGGAGGCTGAAGAGCTTCCCTCTCCCTCGGTGGGGCCTGTGTCCCATGATTTCCTCAAAGATGTCCCGCATCCCTTCTGAACAGAGCTGGTGCTTCACCAGGGCACGCACGGCCTGGTGGCACAGCATTGCCTTTGACTTGAAGGTCTGCACCCAGTTGGACCTGTCTCTGATGGTGGCGTGTTCCCCGATCAGCGTCTCCACAGAGATGCTCTCGAGCTGCTGGGCCAAGCGGTACCTCACAAGGAGCTGGGAGAAGAGGCGGCAGTGAGAGGAGCCCAGCAAAGCTGCAGAGCGTGGGCCCTGCAGAGGAGACGGTCCCGACCCCCACACTCACCTTGAACATAGTTATTAGGAAGGTGGGCTGGAGAAAAACAGTGCTTTCCAGGTGCTTGATTTCCTCATACCACACGACAAGCCCGATGCGGTGGAGATACCGCAAGATGTCCTGGAGAAGCTCTTTGCCCAGGTTGGCCAGGTGTTCGCACTCGGAGAGTTTGCAGAGCAGGTACTGGAGGTCCATCATGCCTAGAGGGAGATGTGGGAGCTCGGCACGTATCTCCCGGACACCAGCATTCCAAGGCGGGTGCTTTAGAGAGCCCACAAACACCAGCAGCACCCAGTGTCACCCACTGCCCTCCCTGGGGTAGCGACGATAGGTGGCTGTGGCCCAAAATGCTTTGCCCATCCTCAGTGGCCCCACTGCCACCCTGCAGCTCCCGCAGTCTTACCTTGCCTCAGCGGTGCCAACAGCCTGTCAGCGCCTCAACCGAGCAGCTGAAAAATGGGGCTAATACTGGGGGTTTTTTTTCGTTGTTTGAAAGAGCTCCTTTGTTTCCAGCCAGAAAACCTCAGCTTGACAGTTAAACCCGATTGTCGCTTAGTCACGCAGCAGGACAGGTAACAAAACCTGGTTTATCGCCACAAAAGAAAAGCACTTGCTCCTCGTCCTCTAACCCTACAGTGGCCAGGGGAGCCAGAGGTGACACCGGGCGCTGGTGGTGCTCATACCTGCTTTAGGTATGTAAGTGAGGAGCCGGGGCTGCCTGCTCGTCACAGGGGACACGGGGACGGGGCTAGGGAGGGGTAGGGGCCATTAAATAAAGTTAGCAGGACGTGGGTTTGGAAACCAGGCAGAAGCATGAAAGCTGCGGAGCTCCTTCCCGCAAAGATTGCTTGTACAGGGCAAAGGGGGGGAAAGAAAAACATTTGCTGGAAAGAACCGAACTGGACAAAGCGGCCAGGTCAGGGCGCCTCCAGCCAGCGGGTGGTAGGTGTTGGCAGAGCCTCCTGGCGAAGACACGCTCGGGCTTTCTGCGCTTTTCCCTCAGCGCTTGCCTTGGGGGCAGACGCTCACACCGACAGAGCTGAGTGGTGGCGATTAATGCTCCAGCAGTAACACTGCAAGGCCTTCAGCAGCGACCCTGCCACCACCTCAGCGGGGCCAGAAGGTGCCGAAAGCACCGGCGAGCCCGTCCCAGCTGCGAGGACGGCAGGTCCCCCCCGGGAGGGGGGGGGTGGTGTGGTGTGGGGGGGGGTCCAAGGGCTGGGGGGACTACTCACCGTGGTCTGCCATCTCCTCGCTCTGTGCGATATCTACGATGGCAGCTTCCACCTGCCTGTAGACGGGCGGCAGCACTCGAACAACCTCGGGGAAAAGCTCCTCATTCTTTACGTGCTCCAGAATCGTGGCCTCGAGTTTTTTGATGTCGCGGTCATCCGTGCAGTTGACAGCAACTAAGTTTAAGATCTGGAAGAGAGAAAGCATACACCTGCCAAAAGGACATCCAGAGAACCGTGCAAGGTAAAGGAGGGACCTATTGCCAAGGATGGGACACACCGCTGGCTCAGCTTCGGAGGGCACTTCCCTCACACTTTTGTTCCGCAGCAGTTCCTGGAAAAGCGCCTGGGGATGGTAAATGCTCCCTCACACTCCTCCCCA